GATAGCTTTGGTGTGTACCAGAGTAGCTAGAAGTTTTTAATTTCATGTGAATTGAAACTAAACTAAGAACAGAGAGAACACACCTCTGAAAAAGCCAATATTGGGAAATATTTCCTTTTTTTTCCCTAAGCGCTGATAAAACTTTGTGCAGGACACTTGATAAATGGCACTTGCAACATCATGAAGTTAGTGTGCACACTAAATAATAATTACTAATATTAATGATTAACTTCAGATTAATGCACAATACGCATCATTAATCTGCAACTGAGTCTGCTGCAACTGACAGACACATCGTATGATGGCACACAGAGAAGGACCAACGTTCCCTCCAATGTGTGACTGAGCCGGGGTGTTCTGTTTATTCTTCTCTCAAAGATAAGATGGAGCTCTACAAAACCGGTTTGGCTCTCTGAAAATCTTTCTGCAACTCGGAGCTGATAAGCTGAAGTTGCCACTTGCGACCTGACAAAGCAACAAATCTGTGATGTGCATGCTCATAGACGGCTCCTCCTCCTCTGCATCGATTTTCAAGATCCGAGGTTAAACGAGCTGCGGGTGCAAAGGCGAACTTGTGTCATGTGACAAAAATGCAAGTTCGTTAAAACTAAAAAGCATTTAAGTTTGTTAACCTTCTATGAATTACACAGAAAAGAAGAGAAAACTATTCTGAACAATATTATTAAATTGTATTTACTGAGATTTTACTGTAAGTAGTTACTGTGACAGTACTTTTTGTTTTATTCTAAATCATTATGTTTAATCAATATAAACATGTGATAGTCCCTGCTTTAACCTCTGTTTGCTCAATCACTGCGCCTTATTTCTTGCTATGGATGACCTACAGTGGAGTCAGCAGCTGAAGCTGAAGAACCAGAAACACCAGACTGACTGCAAAACCTGCGAGAATGAACTCGGGGAGGAGCTCGTGTAAATGATCTCAGCACAAACAAAGAGCACCTGTGAGGAGTATTTAAGTGTCTGTAGGCTGAATGTGAAGTACACAGTACGAGCTGCATCTGTGAGGATCGGGCTGCCAGCATGTCCACCCAAACAGGTACAATGTTATTATTATTACACTGCAGAAACTGGAAGATGAAACTGTAAACTGTGACAGGAAACAATGTATACCAAGTTGAGGCTTTTCTTTAAATGTATCAGATTACTTTTACTCAAAAATGTAGTTACTGAGTTATAGTAAATGGCATGAATGGTTAGAAACATGTTTTAAAACAACACAACAAGAATGAGCTACTTAATCAGTCGCATTTAGGTTTTTAAGGTCAGTTTTCTACAGGAATCTACAACAATCTGTCTGAGTTTCAGTATTTTATACTCATTGGTAAATATAGAAAATAATTGTGCTGGATGGGTGATCCCTCTGTGGTGTCTTGGAACAATGAGCAGTAAGAAGTCGAACAATCAGCACAGGGAGCTTAAAACGACTGAACCTGTCCTGAAAAATTTGCAAAGTATGATTCAAAGCGACATATTGCACTAAAAGTGGAAACAAACTAGTCTGTTAAGTGTAAGTGGTGTCAGCCTCTGTAACATGGCACACTTTTATTGCAGTATTCACACTGAGTATTTGCAAAAGTGCACTTTGTCTTGATTTTTTGTTGGTGCAACATGTTGGAATATTTGTTGGAAACAAATAGTCAGATTTAGGTCCCCTCTAGACGTCTTCGATGATGATCTTAAAATCCATTCTGCAGCTTTTTTGGCTGGTAGAAACAGAACCAGACGTTACATGATCACAGCTCAGTTAACACCATTAAATGAGGTTCATCTGTAGTTTGCAGTCTGTGTTGGGACTTTTTATTGCTCTGTTACTGCGAGCTTTCATTCCTTTTTGACTCAAAAACAAAAATGGATGTTTTAAATTTAATGAAAGGATGGATAAAGCAGCAGTTTCAGACTTCAAGTTTTCTATTTAAAGTAGACAAAAACAATCCACAGTCTATTATCTTGAGCAGACATGTGATGTCACATATTTGACACGTGATTCAAAACAAATCAACCACAACACAAAAAAAGAAAAAGGCTGCCAGGATCTGTCAAGATGTTAAATATACTTTTGAACTATGCCTCCAGCTACCATCTGCAAACAGGACAGACAGGACTGACTCTTTTTGTGGTATTTTCCAGTGACAAACATGGCCTCGGTACCATTGGAGAATCAGTTCCGGTGCTGCATCTGCCTGGACACCTACACGGATCCCGTCTCAATCCCGTGTGGACACAACTTCTGCCTGGATTGCATCGAAGGCTACTGGGACACGAAGGACAAGTCGGAGTGTCCGCTGTGCAAAGAGACGTTCAAAGAGCGACCGGAGCTGAGGATCAACCGAGCTTTTTCCGACATGATTGAATTCTTCAAAAGGTCTGTTTTACTTCCATACTCTTTGTGTCCCAATCCCAGTATCTTTATTGCCATTGTACAAGTGCAACAGAAGTGAGGGCAGTAATGTACGGTGTTAAAAATAAATAAATAGCAATAATAATATACAAAATGAGAGACATACAGTAAATGTGTGTACACCAGTCCCTGCATTCACGATGCTGAATTAGAATTAATTTCTTAAAACTGCTTTAATTGTGTGTGGTTTCATGGCTGTGGAGTAGGAAGCAGATCCAGGATCAACTGACCAATCACGTTGTCTGCCCATTTAGTTAGCATTAGCCAAGAAGTTAGCTCTATTAAAAACTTTCACAAGGAAACCGACATATCTTAATTTGGCTAATATCCAACCTAACTTGATTATAGAGCCTTACTCTACCTTAAATGCCACATATATTGACCATTACCTGCAATGTCACATACAGTGCATGTTTACACCATGTCCAGCTGGCTATGCATTGTGTTTCTGGCACACCAGAGTGTCCCTTAATTTGAATTTATTGTCTTGTTCCGTTTTGTGTTCTCTTCCAGATGGCAGATATATTTGAATATATTCAATGATATTTAACATTATCTTCAAAAGGTCTTTGTCACCCACACTGATGCATGGGGAGGACGTCCAGCCCCCGGCACACCAGCTATCAGACCGTGAAGACGTGCCCTGTGACGTCTGCCACGGGAACAAGGCGCCGTCGGTGAAGTCGTGTCTGGTGTGTCAGGCGTCTTACTGTGAGATTCACCTCGTGCCTCACCAGAGAGATCCAGCGCTGCAGAGACACCGCCTCACAGATCCAGCAATCTTCAACACCAGCCACCTGTGCAGAAAGCACAACAAGCCCCTGACGATGTTCTGCAAGCAGGATCACACACCCGTGTGCTCGAAATGCACAGAGGGCGACCACAAGCACCACAAGATTGTCCCCATGGAGAAGGAGAGCAGGAGGGTGAAGGTGAGGGAAAAGCTCCTTCCTTTGCCCTGCGTTTTTTGGGAGGGGGGGGTTCCTGAGCTCACAGATTTTTGTGCGTTCTTCTTCTCACTGTGTCATTTTTACGTTGTTTGATCTTCTCCAGATGACTCTGAGGGAGACAAAGTCCGACATCCAACAGATGATCCAGGACAGGCTGAAAAAAATGGAAGACATCAAAAGTCCAGTGGATCTAAGCAAAGTAGGTCGTTGATTGGTTCAAAAAGTCAGGCTTGCAACCAAGTAGTTCATTTATCAGTTTATTTATTTATCTAGTTGATCATTTTAATCAATAGAGGGCCACAGAGAGAGAGATCCAGAGCAGTTCTCAGATCTGCAGCATGCTGATAACCGCCATCGAGAGGCAGCAGGCCGAGCTCGCCAAGGATCTCGAGGAGAGGCAGCTGGAAGCCGAGAGGAAAGCTGAGGAGCTGCTCGAAGAGCTGGAGAAGGAAATCCACGAACTGCAGACGAGGAGCAGCGAGCTGCAGCACCTGGAGCTCACGCGGAGCTCGCTCCACCTCCTACAGGTCAGATTTATCTGCTGCATTTTACCGTCTCTCTTCTGCATCCGCATCTTAAAGCTGGTGCTCACAAAAAGCTCCCTTCTGCTTTTAGAGTTTCCCGTCTCTGAGCAGGCTCCCGGCCACCAGAGATTGGTCAGAGGTGGCAGTGCACTCTGATAACTCCCTGGGGATGGTCAGGAGAGCCGTTTCTATGCTGGGGGACATGTGCCAGGAAGTTGCAAACAAACTCTCAGCAGAGGGTGAGTAACCCTACAGTAACATGGACAACAAATCATTGTAAAAAATAAATATATTATCTGATTCTTTAACTTCTTTGTCATGCAGAAGTGGACAAGATGAGTGCATATGCAGGTATGATCACAAATATATAGTTAGCCATTTTTTCCTATAAATTTATTTGAGCTTCATCAGTACCTGACCTGCTGTTTGCTTCTTGTATCTGCAGTCAATGTGACCCTGGATCCCGAGACAGCTTCAGGCTGGCTGGTCCTGTCCCCAGATAAAAAGAAGGTATCAGCCTACAATCACTGACTCTATCACGATAACAGTAAACACACTTAGATGGACATGCTGATTTTGTAAGCTTTTTATGCTCAAGTGGAGAAGGAGATTCAGAATGAAAGTTTCTTTGGCAGCGATGATGAGCCCATTGTTGATCCTCAGGTGAGCCTCGCCAGCCAGAAGAAGAAGACTCTGCTCCCAGACAGTCCCCAACGGTTTGACTCCTGCGTCTGCATTTTGGGGAAACAAAGCTTCACATCTGGAAGACGCTACTGGGTAGTTCAGGTGGGATCAGGATCTGAAAGTCATGTCCTTAAGAAATAGAAAAAAATCCAACAAATACCAGAGATGCTTCTAGCCCTTCAGTTGATGTTTTTGCATTATATACTGTATTTACATGTATGATTGCACAATTTAATAAATCTCTTCACCAATGTCCCATTTTCTTAGCAAAATATAAAGAAAGTAATGTAGTTTTCAACACAACTGGGGGGGAAAGCTATTATTCATAGTGGTTATTATTTTCTCTTCCTCTTGCTTTTTCCATCTAATTCTTTGTACACCGTGTTTCAGGTTGGGGATAAAACAGACTGGGATCTCGGTGTGGCCCAGGAGTCCATCAACAGGAAGGGTGCCATCACAGTTCGTCCTGAAAACGGTTACTGGGCCATCTGCCGGCGAAAAGGTGGCAGTCTGAGCGCCTGCGCCGGGCCCTCGGTCACCCTCAACCTTCACGAAATCCCCAAGAAAGTCAGCATATTCCTGGACTATGAGGAAAGGTCGGTGTCCTTCTATGACGCAGAGGCAAAGACTCACATTTATACTTACGGCGGATGCAGCTTCAGTGAGCCTCTCTACCCGTATTTCAACCCCTGTGTTCAAAGCAACGGGAGAAACGTGGCCCCGCTGGTTATCTGTCCTCTCGAGGGAGGTGTCAGGGAAGAACAGGACACAGGCATCGATTTAACCGTATGATGTGACGCTAACTAATGTTTTAGATCTCATTCCTGTGCTTCCCCTAGATCAGGGGTGTCAAACTCAAATACACAGTGGGCCAAAATTCAAAACTGGAACAAGGTCGCGGGCTAACGTTAATATTTATTGAAAAATATCTTCCTCCAGATTTAAGAATGAATCTCTTCTTATGGACTCAAACAAGTTTTGCTGAAAAACTGAATGTGGAACAAGCAAAGCTTAATACTAAACAATATATATATTAGCTGTATAATACCAGTAGGCCAGCTCTAATAATAATTTGGTATGGCTTCGCGGGCCAAATGTAATTAGGCTGTGGGCCAAATTTGGCCCGTGGGCCAGAGTTTGACACCTATGCCCTAGATGATTAAAATGGTTGTTCCTACAGAAACCACATGTCACATGTCTGAGTTAGCAGGCAGTCCAGCTGGAAGAGGCACTAACACTGTAGTTTGAGTCTCACGCAGGCGTCTTTGTTCCACAGGTGATGTGAACAGTGTGCACAATGTTATTAAGCAACCCTGCCACTGGCTAACATAGCAAGTTACTTCTGTTTGAGTGTGCAAACCCTAGCATAACCTGTAAGATGGGAGTAAGTTTTGCTCTCTCTGTCATGAAGTGTGTGCAAAGTGGGTTTTTAACTTTTATTATTCAAATCTTCACAAAATACTACTAGACTAGTATTTACTGTACTTGGGATGCAAAAGTTGAAACTGAAAATAAATTCTAGTTTTTTGGGGGGGAAAAAGAAAAACAAACAAAACTCAAATATGCGTTTTTGGGTCCTGTTATTTTGAAGGAAGCTGATTTGTTGTCTATTTTAATGTGAGGTCTAAATAAGCTGCACCTCACCATTATATTCATTATGTATTATGACACACACATCAGGCTTCACATAGAGGAGAAATCCAGCTTTAATGTTTGAACATTAAGGCCTTGAATTAGTATTTGTTTTTTGTATTTTTCAGACGTTGTTGTTCAGATGTTCTATGTCATCAGACAGGTTTGTCAGAATATACGTTTTAATTTTTGGTTTCTTCTAAGGCATACTGAGACGTTCTGACTTTAAAAACTCTTGCATTTCATCAGATTTGTGCTGAAAGTACCTAAAGCTCACCCTGAAACATATCCTATATCAGTGCCCTGACAACAAACTGAACAACTTACTTTCCTGCACTTGCACACAGTAAAACATAAATCCCGGCACCTCAGAACACACACAGATCACATCAACAGAGGGCCCTATGAGTGCATGATCCAGAAGGCCTCATAAGAGCTCAAACATGCTTTAGTGCTTCCTTTATTACCTCCTTAGAAACACTGAACCATATGACAGAGATCATCCACCATCAGACCCATCATGCAAACAAAAAAATGTGCACAGGTCATATAACAGTTAGTTAAAAGTTTATTTAGACCCTGTTAACAGAAAAAGGATTAAACAGATGTGGTGTGTGTTCAGTAAAAAAAATTACATCAAACAGTAACAGAGTATTATAAATATTTAAGCGATTCTGACGTCAGAGCACAGTTCTGCTGGATGTGAGCAGACGTAAGTACTCGGCATCTTTATGGTTTTGTTCCTCCCTCCTATAATTGTTGCTCTGCTCATTTTACTAGGCCTGGGCCCTGTTCTGAATCACAGTGAGCAGATCCAGATAATGGAAAATACCCCGAGTATGCTGAACCTAACATTGACGATCAGGATAAGCGGACACACAAAGCTGGTTATCAACATGATAAGTTAACTCAGTGTTTCCACTGGGCAGGTGTCAGTATGTGACCAATCACAAATGGTGGTGTAGAGGTTAAACACACAATGCGGACTGAAAGACAAAGCTGCAGCGTGGGTGTGTGTGCGAGGAAAAGCTCTGCGCAGTAGTTTAGTATTAAAAACAGAATGAATGTGTGAGCGCTTTAAACACTTTGGTGAGAAAGACTGGAAGAGCGCCACTATGCTAACACATTTTAGCTTTTTGGAAGGCAGGAAAAAAAGGGAAAAATACAAACTGTGTAAATTAACGTATCTCTCTAACAGAGCTCTCTCATTTGGACAAAGCACAGTCTGATGGATTACAGTAAAGTATGTAATTAAATTAATGTCGAGCAAGTTTTACTTTTTATTCTCAGCTGCAGGCTTGAGTGTCTTTAATGATCTGAGAGTAAAGAATAAATGTAACTCTCTGAGTGAATTAGATCCACAACTACATAAAAATACTGCAAGTACCTGCTCTGTTTTAGGATATTTATGGAACAATAAAGGAAATAAAACCAGTAAAGTTGGGAATAAAGATGTGTCTATGAATGTTTATTACTGATGCTCATCGGGAAGACATCAACACTTTAGATGCTGTTAAAAATTTACACCCACTCAGAAGTCTGAGGAATCTTCAGGGATGGTGATTTTCTGGAGCACTGGTCCATCAGTAGGCGGTGATTTCATACCTCTTGATCTCTAATCCGAAACATACCCTGTTCACAGCATAAGTTACCATGGCGATATACCTGTCTAAATTGATGAATGTTTAAAAGGGGGAAAAAGCTATTTGTACCCGCTATCACCCATTAATAGTCATTTACTAATTAAAAAACAAAACATTTTTTAATTATAGCAGGGATACGCGTGAGTTCGTGATGAATCCTTTAAGTCCCAGCGCATTTTCTGTAATATCTGAGGTTAGATGAGAAGGAGGGAGAAAAAGGTAGAGTGGGGGTGGGTTTGAGGAACAGTGAAAACAGAAGGATGGCAACGCTCGTGATGTGATTAAACGTCTGCTCGAACGCAGGGGTCCCCTGGAACAGAGATGTAGCGAGAGAGAGAGAATGAGAGAGAGAGAGGGGGAGAGGAGGAGAGATAAAGCTGAAGGTGAGTGTGAAACGAAGCTCTAACTTTACTGAGCCAAGCTGGCTTCTGTATGTTGCTGCAGGAGCAACGCTGACGACGTGAAAGGTGGGTGATGGAGCATCTGCAGATTCTTTCTTTGAGGGTCACTCTTGTTAGAGCGATTGTACTTTTTATCATTGCACTTATTGTCTATGCTTTTGAGGATTTTTCGGAGCAACATCTCTAATGTGACACAAGGAAATGCTAAAAGGTTCTTTTATAGTTTATCAAAGTACTGTCTGAATTCTTGTGTTTGCTTCTTAAAACAGTGGCTTTTTTGATAGTAAGCGTGTTTGTGTAAAGGAATGCAAGTGCAAAGAGAGAGACAGGGATTAAATTGGAAAGGTGCACGAGGTGAATGAGTGGGAGTATTTACCCACAGATGGCCTCTCGGCGGTGGGATTGTGATAGTCCGCTGTACCCCCTCCTGAGTCCAGCTGGCGTCGCTCACGCGGGCCTCTTCCTGGCCAAAGCATTACCTCATCACTTCTATTTATTTTCTGCTTCAATACAAAGCGGTTTTCTATTAATATTCTCACCGTTTAATTAAGCGGCGATGTGGCAGAGCACCGGGATGGGCTTTTTATTACATTTACAGCAGTGCGGGTTTGATAGACTTTAACTGTGCTGAGGCACACAACTTTTCTCCAGCAGCACCGTGCTGTGTTTTCAGCCTGTTTTCAGTCGTCATGTTCTGTTATTAAAACGCAGAACAAGAACGAGGATAGTGGTTTTTTATACTTAATATTTTGATGCATGAACTTGTTTTAAAGGGCTAAACATATGTAAAAATGGTGGATTCTCCAACAGTATGGGTTGTTGAAGCAAACTAGGGGCAGGAGTCACCAAGGTTCAGGTTTTTTAACAGCTGTTGCCATTGTTCACCAGTAAGTTTATTTGCAAACTAAAGATGATCAGGTCGTCCAGTCATATTGAGATTCGTGCAATGTTTTCATGTGAATAACTGTGTCACTGACTCGCAGGCCTGAAGCTTCAATCCAGTCTGGACTTCTGACTCAGCACACTTGGCTGATGGCCACTCCTGCCCTGGTGTGAGGGACCGGACGCCACCACTTATTCCGCGCATTTATGGACTTCCTGTCAGTCGTAGTAAGCCAGCTGAGGAGTCCCTGAATCGTTTAATCTCCAAAGAGATGAGACAAAGCCCTGGCTGATGTTTTCTTTCCAGGTGAAATTATGACCCTGCTGGTAAAGTGAGGTGCGCGCCAAGAAGAGTCTCGCTAAAGAGCTGTGGTGACCATTCTGCAGTAGAAACGCGAAGAAAAAAAGATGTCTTGTCTGTCATTTACCCCTGCACTCTACCTTGATGCCCACTCCGTCTTTGTCGTTGGACTGCTGCTGCTCGTCCACCGGGGGCCCTCCGAGGTCAGCTGCCAGAATGACACGGAGCCGATCGTGTTGGAGGGAAAGTGTCTGGTGGTGTGCGACTCCACCCCGTCGGCGGAGCCGTCAGGTAATGCCCTGGGCATGTCAGTGAGGTCAGGAACTGGGCGGGTGGCATTTTCGGCCATTCGTAACACCAACCACGAACCCTCAGAGATGAGCAACCGAACCATGACCATCTACTTTGACCAGGTGGGTTTTAAGGCTTGTTTTTGGAAAAGTGTGGTGCAAGTTAAGGTTTTGGTTGAATTTCATGAGTTCAACCAAAAATGACGCTTCTCCTTCTGCTGCACTCTAAAAACGGTCAACAGAAACTTAGGTTTCAAAGGACATAGACCTCATTTTGTATTGAATCTGGAGAGGATCCAAATCCAGGACACTGCAGGCAGAAAGCTAGTATTTTATTTTAAAAAAAATATCCAAAATGTCAAACAGAAGTCCAGTCAACACAGAGCAACATGCGGGGAAGCATAGACACTGTGACAAAGACTGAGAGCTGATTAGGGAATGGCCAACAGGACAAGGAAGGACAGTAAACAAAACTAACACAGGAGAGGAAAGAAAACAAACTTTCAAAGTAAGACAGGAAACAACCAAAAAGGAATGATACAGAAATTAATGCAAATATTAAATGAGCATCACACAAGGAAACAGTGCAAAGGAAACATGCATTTGTTTGGACACAGAAAGATGGAAACCACTGACGACACATTTGTATACCAGACCAGATTATCTTTGTTTCAAAATTTCCAACTTAAAACTGAGGAAGCTTTTAAATAAGTAAAAGATAAAGTGTGTCTAAACCCCCTAAATTAATAAATTTAAATAAATAAATAGATGTATGTGTAGGTCATTCAGCCTCTGAGCTTATGTCCCTTTGTGCACAGGTGAATTTTCATAGTGGAATAAAAAAGTAAAAATATAAATAAACTGCAAACCTGGGACAATAGGTCTCAACTAAAAACTAAAAACCTCTGTGTAGAATCTACGTCAGCTCCCTTATTTGCAAAGAGCCACCACAGCAGATAGCTCTGCATGTTTGATTTGCCAGATTTTTACACCAGATGCACTTCCTGATGTAACCACAAAGAGATTTGTGTCTCCACCCAGGACCAAACTGAGATTTCTGGCTTGTTAGATGTAAACCTCCTTCTTCTTTTGGCTGCTCCGTTTAGGGGTCACTACAGTGGATCATCTGTCTCCTCCTCTGTCTCCATCTCACTCCATCCTTACCATCCTCCTCTGTCACACCAACCCTCTGCGTGTCCTCCTTCACTACACCCACGAACCTCCTCTGTGGGCTTCCCTTTCCCCATATTCATTCCCTTTGTCCCCTATCCCTCCTCTGCACAAGTCCAAACCATCTCAACCTTGTCGTTTTAATTTTGTCTCCAGCTTGTTAGGTAAACCACTACACTAAAGACCTCTATCCATATACATAGAAATAGCAGGTCAGCAGGCAAATTTTGCAAGTTACATTTTGCATGACTTTCAGGACTCTCAAATAAGACTACAAGAAACAGTCGATAAGAGAGGAGCATTGATGTCTGTGAGAAAATCTCATGCATAGACAGTTTACTGAGAAACCAATGTGGTGAACTGACCAACCAGCCAGTTTTATAATAACCAGAACAGACTGCCATCGCCATTTATAGATACAGCCTCTTCTGCTGTTACTAAACTTGATTTATTGCCATCAAAGTCCCCAGTTACTGATCACACTGTACAAACAGAAAAAAGGCCTTCACAGAAAAGCACTATTACGACGGAGTGACTGACTGCCAGTTCTCTCCCTCCTTTTCTTGTTCTCATGCGAGGACGAGCAGACCAACTTTCTTGTAAAAGAGAAACATTAGAAAAATTTAGGTCAGAAAAATAAGAATAATAAACCACAGTGGAGGCTCAGTGAAAGATTATGGATTACACATTTGTGGCTAGTTGGTTGGTTGAATTTGTGAAACTCTTTGCTTCTCTCTTTTCCTTCTTAGATCATAGTGAACGTTGGCAGCCATTTCGATCCAGCAACAAGCATCTTTGTGGCACCCAGAAAAGGAGTCTACAGTTTCAGCTTTCATGTTGTCAAAGTTTACAACCGGCAGACGATACAAGTAAGAGCAAAAATGTAAAAGCGTCACGTAACACTGAACGGATCTGTTTGTTTCTCAAAGAAAAGTTAGACTTATTGCTGTTCTAAGGTTTGTGAATTAACAACAGACAGAGAGGTGCTAAAGTCTGGTTCTTCTGTGATGTCCACACAGTACCAGATGAGCTGGGACCTGAGAAGTACTGACAGGAGTCCCAGGAAGGGGCAAATCTGAGAGTCTGTTTAAAAACAGCTGTAATTCATTAACCATTACTGTGAGGTTTTTGTCCCACCCCTTGAATTAAAGCTGGAAGTCTGCTCTTCAATTTAAAATTGATTCTACTGATGTATAGACACACAATCATCAAAACTGCATCAGCGTCCAAACATACCTGATTCTGTTTTACATGCACTCATTCACATGGCCACTAAAGGTTGTGTTCCTTTAACCTCCTAAGACCTGAACTCTTCCACTGCATGCATTTTTAATTTCTCTTTGATATTTGGGCTGATTGGGACCTGATGAATGGAAAAACAAAGAATTACCAGATTTTTTTTTTTACCTGATTTTTGTTTCTAAGAAAAATGAGAGCCACATATGAGGATATTCGTTTAAAATTTTGATAGAACAGTATCAGTATAATGTCCTCTTAAGTGGATATCAGGCCCATGTAGAGCAAAATTGAGTATTTTGATCTAAATAACCCAAAATGTGACGTCCACATATCTGGATGCCAGGTCCTAGGAGGTTAAAATACAACTATAAATAAAAATAACATCTTTCACTCACTTTCGCGATTGCGCTGTACGACAAAAATGAAGTCGCAGTTGTACACATCACATTGAACTTTGTGCCTCTGCCTCCAGAGTTGAGGACATGAGTGCAGTTTTACTTCTTACTGCTATTTTAATGATATCAGTGCAGAGAGAATAATTCACAGATTATACAGAGGAAGAGTTTCGGGACACTGTCTTCTAACCAAACTTTCATACAAATCTTACATCCTGCTTTCCCAGGTGAGTTTGGTTCTCAACGGCTGGCCTGTGATCTCAGCCTTCGCAGGCGACCAGGATGTGACCAGGGAAGCTGCCACCAATGCGGGTCTGGTGATTATGGAGAGGGGGGACAAGGCTTACCTCAAACTGGAGCGGGGGAACCTAATGGGAGGGTGGAAGTACTCCACCTTCTCTGGGTTTCTGGTGTTCCCGTTGTAGGGTTGACTGAGGTAGGATTATGAGAGCTGGTGTTCTGACCATAGTCACAGGTGTGGAGGGGAGGGCGGGTGTAACATAAAGAGTTCTTTGTTACTTTCACAGCCATCAACACAAAGGAAGAGGAATTAACTGATACATTGAACTGCACTGACGCATCTTGATGTGTATCGATGAATTGGTGAATTCACCTTGCACCAAATAATCTTGGATGTATTTTCCATTTCCATTGCATTTTTATGGCTTATTGTGTGTTTTTCTGTCATTAGTCTGTGGTTGCTTGCAGTTTTCCTTTTAATGCATGAAATAAGAAATGGCCAATAAAGAAAATAATTGTGTCTACTGACTGCATCAATCTATTAGCACTAACAAATTAATATTTTCAGTGCTAGCTTGCCAAAATGCTTTATCTCAGAAAGGTACGAAGGAGAATATGATCCAAGATACTTCACTTTCATTAAAATGTTCAGTGTAGCACTTCATTGTTGTCTTAAGTATACAGACTGCTATAATAAAGAGGATTGACAAATTTGGGCAAAGTTAGCAGTATGCAAGCTTGCTAGCTAGCAGACATACAAAGATTAGATGTTTTGTGAAAATCCAGTCTGAAGCTTTTCAATGTTCTTTGTGTTTTGAAATGGGATGTGAGCAATACGCATATTTGACTGAGAAACAGCACACTCATTGGCTAACACTGACTTCATTCTTTTATTCAACCAGGGCACTGTGCAGTCACTCACACAGCCATGAACTCCTCTGTATACCAAATTACCCTCAAGTCAAATGTGAGGCTATCTGTCTGACAGCTAAAGCTAGCCTCAAACTGGCTCATCTAAAAACAATTGAAAGCACAAATCTGCAACAGAATGGATGAAAAATATAATGGCCAATTGTACAGATCTTTAAGTTCTTACTGCTAAAACAAGTTTTTGAATCAAGGACCATAGAGATTGTAGCTTTCACTCAGGCCTATGCTAATTAGTGCTATATATCCATATAATAATATATATTCTATATAATAACAGAAGTGAAAGTGAGGCATACCAAGCTATAATATGAGTCAGATATTTCCATAAAAAATACTCCAAAAGTAGACATTGAGATGTCCAGCTCAGTGACTCGAATTAGCACAGGTGAGGCCTTAGAGCAGCTAGCTACAGCTAGCTTGAGTTACAGAAAAAAAATACTGATGTGACTCAAAGGAAGCTGTGAAACTGATAAGCTTACTTTTTTATTTAGAAGCTACAGGTAGACTACATCAACTCGTTTAGCTTTCCAGTTATAATATCTATAATTATCCATAATTATTATTCAAATAAACACAGGCCCATACAAGCTTGTTAACCATTCTTCCGTTTATTTAATGAACATACTGTTTCCCTTTTCTTCACAAAGGCTGCATTTTGCTTACCACATATGTCCTTAGTTAAATGCTGACACAATTGTGGCCCCAAACACCCTCTATCACACTTTACATATGCTCTATAAATCGCTCTGTACAAACAGAAGGTTGTTCTGAAAATAGCAGGCCTCCCTGCTGTTTGTCCCAAGAGCTGTCCTGAAGGTAAGAGATATTGTACTATTGAGAGTTTTACTATGCCCATAAAAAATGCAGGTACTTTTCTCACATAGAAAAGGTGTTCAGTCATGAAAACTGCAGCTTTTTTTGTAAAAGTCATAAATTATACATGAATTTCTGTCTGTATTCGTCGCTCCCTCTGACGCACAGTGCGCACAGCGACAGTGCACCTCTCAGCGGTGGATCCGGTGACAGATGGAGGGCTGGCAGTAGAAAATGAAACCATTGCCAGGAGCCTGCTGAGTTCACACTGGACCTTCACAACCTATTAGTGTCAACGTCCCGGTGCACAGCAGAGGCCTGTGTTAGCACTTTAGAGAGTCGTGTCTGGAGTACAAAAACAACATGAAGTGAAGACTTTGGTTCCAAAAGAGAGATAAACTCTTCAAAGTTAAAGACAAACACAGAAAATGTGACAGGGAACATTCATAAAAACACCACCACAGCTAAAGTACAATTACTGATGTAGATTACAAAAGACATGGCTATACATCAGTGATTGGGCTGAATCACTGAACAAAAAAAACAGCAGTGCCCCCTACAGACAGGGGAGGCATGGTAACATGGTAACAGAAATGATAACAGAAATACAAAACTAAGACTTAAGATACCAGTATAAACGGAGGGATTACAACTATAATAACCAAAACTAGGGACAGAATCCTAACCTCAGAATATAAAATATACAAGAATCAAAAGTCACAGACCAGGACCATGACATACAATTATTTATTGTTGTCATCTATAAATTTTCCAATGCACTATTTTACCAACCAAATAAAAGCTGTAAAAAAATAGTGAAGCGGATTCTTATTTTTTTGATTAGAATTATAGTTATTTACTCATGTTTATTAAGAGAAACGTTAGTTTTAGTGGTTGATTCATTTCTGACTCCTCTCATATGTAAGCCCGCTGTGTTCGCTCAAATTTGGGTATAAACATAATTTTTTTTCCCTTGCTGGATAAATAACAAAATAATATGTGTTTTAAACAGGTTTTCACTGTTCTTGTTTTATGACAAGTGGTCTAATGAATTTGTTAAGCATGGTAAAACAAAATAAATAATAACCTAAAATAAACACCTATTAAAGTCTTAGTGGATTCTTTAACTGTTTAAAATGCTTAATAAATTATTCTAATGACATACCTGATGTGTCTTAAGAAAAATAAATGCAATTTTGGGGCTTCTGTTTTCCACATTGTAAAGAAAAGCTACTGTTATCAGTGCAGCTTATATAAAATCACATAGAAAGAACCAGCTGCTTATTGTCTTGATTTTATTCTATAATAAATGTTAAAGTTAACACAAGGTGTTGGAGATGTTTTTTTATAGATAAGATTAAGTTAGCAGTTCAGATGAAAATATAGTGAAAACTCCCGAATCTGTGCCTTCTTTTGTAACTTTCACATTTTACAAAGCCATCCACATGACTGTACTGGACCCTGTAGCAGTTCTGGTCTCTGTTCAGTATGTTCAACATCTCAGGTTTAACAGAATCAACTTTTGGAGAAATACTTTCATTTTTCTCAAGGTGGACCTAAAAATCCTCTGCAGAGACATTACTCAAATCAATATAAAAATGAAATACTTAAACAACTTTCTGACTGATAGCTTAAAAATTACCTTACCTGCATCGTTCAAGAACTTGCTTATGTTGGTGTCTGAAATAAGAAAAGAGCAGATAACAAAACATAAAAAATGTAAAGGAAATACAACACCAATAACTTCTTAGTATAAATGAACTTTTTATTAAATTGTCAGATTTTTCTTTAAAGCAACATCAGATTTTTTCCTTTTTCTTTCACAAAATTCACAGGAAAAAAAATTAAGGCTGAACATGAGGTTTAACATTTCAAGTTATTATCTCAAAATTCAAACTTTTGAATACGTAGAAAATTTGAGACATTTAACTGTAAGTTTTGAGATAAAAATCTGAAATTACAACATATAGAAGGCAAAAAAGAAATGTTTTTTGCGTCCTGTTTCTTAAAAAGTCCAGTTTCTGGACATTACCTACCCATCATTTAAAATAAATCAGATACACATTAGGATGATTTCAAAAAGTGGTAAAGTTCAGATAAAAACCATCCTAATATGAGAACATTGTACACATACAACACAACCGTACCAAATAAATATTTCACACAGCATTGTTCCACCACTTCATTGAAGCTACATCATGCTTCTGCGCAATGAAAAATGTGTTTCTTGGGCAAGAAACAAAAACAAATTCTTGATTGAAATTTAAGTTAAGGTGACACTTTAATCTAACTGATTATCATGTAATGAAGGAAAAGCATGTGTGTAGAAAAAATTAAATAATGAGGACACTGTACATGCAGTTTATCACTGTGAGAGAAAAGTTTCAACTTAAAAATCACTCTTTGATTTAACAAGAGAGTGGATATCCCCAATGTGACCCACCTGCTATTCAAACCTTGCTAAGGGGAGATTTGCTAAAATGGGGGGTATGCACCAAGGCACAGTTTAAGATAAATAAAGATTATTTTCAACTGTGAACGCTGCAAAGCTGCCCTCTTAAAATATGGAGGTTGGACAGTCCATAATGGGCCAATTTTAATGCAGCTCCTTTATTTTTTAACATCTCGGCTGCACTTAATGCGCCAACAAAACAGCATGTGTAAGCAAACATACAAATACAGTACAAACCAGGTTTTTGCACATACCGTATACTAAACAGCAGTGATGTTTGTAGGGTTGCTGAAGTTTGGCTAGCTATATAATGATGCGCTACGAGCGACGCAGCTATGTTAGCATAGCATAAACACAATGAAGCTGGAGGGTGAACGCTAACTTTTTTCCACTCGATAAAAGTTAATGTGAGGGTTCCTGATGCTGTCAATGGACCAAATTTCAGTCAGGAGAACAGCTGACATAATACATCCACAACACGAAGTTAGTCATTATTATACTGCAACAACACGGGAATAGAGCAGCTGCGACAGAATTCAACATTAATGAATCAATGGTACGGAAGTGGAGGAAACAAGAAGAATGAGTTGAGTAAAGTTTGATCTGATTTTGTTTTGCCTAATGCGCCTTATATTCCGGTGCACCTTAGTATGAAAACAGACCCATTCATCAACAGTGTGCCTTAATAATCCGGTGCACCTTATGGTCCGAAAAATACAGTAATACAAACAGTATATGCTGAAAGGCATGTGTTTAATTTTAACCTCCTTGACAAGCCAAAGAAGTCCCACCCATATCCATGGATTATTGCAGAGGTGTCAAACTCCAGGCCTCAAGGGCCGGTGTCCTGCAGGTTTCAGATCTCACCCTGGGTCAACACACCTGAATCAAATGATTATTTCATTACCAGGCCTCTGGAGAACTTCAAGACATGATGAGGAGGTAATTTAACCAATTAAATCAGCTGTGTTGGATCAAGGACACATCTAAAACCTGCAGGACAGCGGCCCTTGAGGCCTGGAGTCGGAGACCTGTGCATTAATGCAAATCCTACGTTTGGTTTTATAACACATATTGACTTGTTGTGATTAATAGTCAGTCTGCCGTTAAGGCAATTTCTGGCTTAAGATGATTTCCTGGCACTGTGTCTTTGGATATTTGTTGACCACAGTAGGTGAAAAAGCATCAACCATATGACCAGACTTGGCCCATAATTCTACTGCTGACAGTGCAAAAGAAAGGTGTGATGTTTTTTTTCACTGGTTTCAGCATTTCAAACAAAATAAACAGAATAAATACAGAAAATAATAGAAAACAAAAAGCTTTTTCAGAAACCTGTCCAGATATAAAAATCCACCACAACAGATTAAAAACAAACAAACATGCAAAAAAAAAAAACCTTAAATATGATCTCAAATTTGAGAAGTTAAAAAGAAAGAGGGAAGATTAGACAACACACTCAGCCAACTCCTCCAGCCTTGTTCCCCCAGCCTCCCAAGTGTGGCAGAGGGACGTTAACGGCAGATGGTGCTGTTGGGTGCCTCTTCCGCTCTAAAGGATCTGTGGCGCAGATGTGCATGGTGTTGTTGTCACCAAGTTGTAATCCAACTACGTTGCAGAAGTGCATGTTGATTCTAGGTGTGGCAGGATAGCAGAAATTACCAGGGCTGGAGGACTGACGCTGCAGAGAAAAGAAGAAGAATATTTGTTTTAAGCGGTTCAGAATAAAAGCAAATCATGTTAGTTTGAGCCGCTGTAAGATTGAACAAAAATGTTTACATTCATTTTCCAGCACTTAAAATTCAGTCTTTTTTTGTCTTTTCTAAGAACTATTTTGGAAACATTTCATTTGGTTTTCTTAGCTTCAGACAGCTCTTTTTGTTTTTCAGTTTTTCTACTTTTGGACCTCTATGATGTCACTGAGAGCCGACGTCCCTAATACAGTAACCCCACTGAACCCTCAAAGCACTTTCTTACTACAAGCCTGATTCAGTCATTTACACACACGCACGTTTTTCCTACGTTCTAGTGTTTTTAACCTAATATTCATACATTCATTGTTCAGTGGATACATCGGGGGTCAGTATTTTGCTCAAACATACTTCTACATGCAACCAACAGAAGCCTGAGATCAAAACACCAACCGTCCGATTGGTAGACGACCTGCTCTACCTCCTGAGCCACAGACACCGCTGTGAACTGTAAATGATACAAAGTTAAAGTAAAAATTTGAACATGAAGCTGGAATGGAGCGTACCATGTTTCATCTCGTGGCTAAAAATTGTGTATCATGCAGTAAACCTTTTAATCTTTTTTTTTAATCAAAACATTTCTTAGCACAAGAATTGATGACTGAAGCTCAAATCTAACTGAAGATTTTGGCCCTCTGTGGACAAAAGTAATGGGACACCTTCACATACCACCTACAGGACCTGCTCAGACATGCAAACACATGCTATGAAGCTCCTGTTGTATATGTTTGTGCTGATATTAGTGCCAGATGATGTTTGGAGCTCTGTAGTTACTGAGTCAGCAGAGCTTTGGAGAAGTTCGCTCTTTTCGGGTTTTTAACTACTGCCTACATATATTTTTACTAGAATTGCTTTTATTTTGACACATTTTAACATTTATGAGGCACAACATGCAAGAAACATTTGGGTTATGTAGCTGCATGCTAAACAAGCAGATCTTCATAAAATAGTTATGGAAAGTGGACCAGTTCTCATATATTGTTTTTCTACTGTACTGAAGGACCCAAAGCGCTTTATACAACATGCCTCATTCACAGCCATCCATACAACTGCTTTTTTCCTGACTATCTAACATTCCCACACATTCATTAAATCACATATTATACATGCATTTGGCCATCTGAGATTCCAGACTGGGTGTACCATATAGGAAAAAAGGGTAGACATGAACATAACCCTTGCCAGGTCACTGGTGACCAGTGCTGGTCAAGTTACTTGAAAATAGTAATTAGTTACTAATTACAGATTAATTCTCCAAGAAAGTCATCCAGTTACTTTACAAATTACTTAGTTTCTGCAAGTAATTAGTAACTTCATTACTTTTTAAAAACATGATACAAAACTTGAATATGTAACAAAGCAATGGTCCTTTCAGCCCAATTCTTTTTTTCTGCACAATCCATCATATACAATTGAATTTTTAGTAACGCAATAACACAGCGTGCTTATGGGAAAGTAACAGTAACTCAATTACTTTTTTTGCAATAACAATCCCTTTAATTGTTACTTGAAAAAAGTAATTGGATTACAGTAACATACTTCTTTTAACATGTTACTGCCCGTCTCTGCTGGTGAACTGGTAAGTTTTGAATTAGGTTAACTTATGAAGTTAATTAGTATATTTAAGCTCTTTTAATTGAAAAACATTAGACCTGCTCATTGTGGAAAAAGTCTTTAAGTCGGTGAAAAACAACGAACACACACACCTGGTACTGAGAGAAATGGTTTTGCTTAAAAGGTGGGCAAATGTTTTTCGATGATCTGTTTTGCGGCTTCCTCGATGGAGCTGACGGGGCCTGCGACTGAATGGGCTGAACAGAGGATGGTTTCATTTTATAGCCTGCTGAGTGGGGTTGGTCCACCTGAGACACATTGGCAGTTCGATGTGAAGGTGATTCTGGAAGGCAACACATTTATCTTCAGACATGAAGCCACAACAGGCACTTTATTTGACTACAACAAAAGGTTCCCCCTTCAGTCAACCGTTTCTGTTCTGCTTCAGCAACAACTTCCTTCTTACCTTTGACTCTAGTGTTGTCTCTTTGATTTGCAGGCCAACTGCCAGCCACTTCCTGTAAGAAAAGGAAATAAAAGAATTGCTCTGTTGCAAGTTACAGCAAAGATGAAGAATGTGGAATAAAGTGAGGATAAACAATCTTTACCGGCTTCATTTTCTCACAGTTCTTACAGGGTCTCAATGGGATCGGAGTGTAGTGAAAATTATTTAGATGCTTCCTGTGGCTTTGGTGTAGTGACAGTGTGTAAAACTGTGACGACAGTGGCTGATGAGCTTTACCGCAGTGTCACTTCCCTTGGATTAGGGCTCAAGATAAGTAACACTGATACTAATAATGGTACTAAAAACACACATGCTTTCCACTAAAAGTCTCTCACGATTGTCGTTCTTTCACAAGATATGCTAAAAATGTACAAACAAGATTAACGTATTTCTTTTATGAGTAAATCTATAAAATCCACATCTTGGAAAGCATCTACACTTACTGTAATGTTTTAAACTTTAGTTTTTTCTTGTTTTTTTTAAGTGAAACAATATAATTAAATGTGTGGTAGACAGATCTACATCTACGCCCCTCTCATTACACAACTATGATTACATGTATGTGATTCATAGTCAGCGTTACATTTTGGCTTAACGTAAGAGTCCATTTCCATCCCCCCCATATGAAAGTCCTCTACTTAGATGATTGCACCACTTGGTCTTACTTCCTATATGGACTATTTTCTATTATGAAATTTAAACCACAATGTATTGCAGAAGTCTAGTTACCATTCAGACCACTTGAATTACAATATGTTGAAGGGGTATTTTTGATTTTTTTTTTTTGTTCAGTGATGGCCCAATGTGAACCTTAATGTAAAAAAACCACTAGACCAGCAGTTCTAGATATTAATCATTAGTTAGTCCTTCAAGAAAAGTATGCTTTATGATTCTAATAAAAATGTAACCTGAAGTGAAAGTCTATCAGTCTGTTATGGGGAGGGGAGCAACCATAGTCACTAAGGGATTTTTCCAGGTTGATGGCTTCTTAAACCAGGGGGTGTGGGAACTCCAGGCCTCAAGGGCCGCTGTCCTGCAGGTTTTAGATGTGTCCTTGATCCTTCACAGCTGATTTAAATGGCTAAATTATCTCCTCGACATGTCTTGAAGTTCTCCAGAGGCCTGGTAATGAACTAATAATTTGATTCAGGTGTGTTGACCCTGGGTGAGATCTAAAACCTGCAGGACACCGACCCTCGAGGCCTGGAGTTCGACACCCCTGTTGTAAGGAAAAAACCCTAAAATAATCCAAAGAAAAACCCAGCCATCAGACAACTGCTTACAACCAAGCACATGGTGACAGTGGAAAGGAAAAACTCCCTTTTAACAGGAAGAAACCTTGGGCAGAACCAGGTGCATGGACCATGCGGCCATCTGCTGCGACCGGTTGTGGGTGAAGGGAGGAAGACAGGACAGAACACACATGTCCTTAATTTTAAAATTAAATATAGTGGACAACAGTATTGGTTTTCACCTCTTAATCTTTGAATTCAGGTGCTTTCAGTCTCATGTGCGCAGGTATATAAAGTCCTGCCTCTGGCCATAAAGTCTGCCTTTACAAACATATGTGAAAGACTGGATCATTCTGAAGACCTCACTGAATTACAGTGTGGTGCTGTTAACAGGACGCCATCGTTGCAACGAGTCAGGTTATGAAGTTTCTTGCCTCCCAGTTAGTCAACAATCCCCTGTGTTTAAGAACCAGAGTACCTCAGACCACGTAGCGTTACAGAGCGGGGTCACTGAGTCTAAAAGTTGAAAAACCTCCTCTGGCATTACCGTCAGCACAAAACCTGTGCACAAGGAGCCCCATGCATGGGTTTCCATGACTTGTACATGTAATGCTTAGGTTGTCGTGCTTATTTTACATTTGCTGTGTTCAGGATTCCTCTTTGAAAATTCCCCTAGTGCAGTAGGAAGTGATGCACACAGTATTTCCCCGTGACTGAAGAAGCGCAGTGTTGAAACAATACTGTATTGGCCAATTCATGACAAAAGGGAAAGAAATGGCATAGAGCACATTTTGAGTATTTGAATGTTGTTTTTTGCCACTCAGCTCATTCTGACTACAACACTGATGGTTGGTTTATAATTTCAAACCTACATGGTGTTTGGAGCTAATCCTTTCTGACAACTATATATAATTTGTCAGCGTTGAACTCAAGCAAACGTGGCTCTTTCTGCTCACCTGAATGGGCGGGCGCCCTGTAGGGACATCTTCACAAATGTTTGCAGGTTTCACTATGGTGCTCACTGCAAAACATATACTGCTATTGTTATTATTGTTATTATATAGATAAAACAAGCTTTTATTGTAGTTTTCTTTTGTAGTTCTGTAGCATCAGTTCATTTTCTAGCCGGAAAGACAAATAGAGTTCACACTGCTACATGTTGATGACAATTAGAAGAACATGAAAGCTGTAGCGAAGTTTGGTTTTGACAAATTTGTTGGTTTTTTGTTTTGTTTTTTTGCTCTGTTTCACACAGAAACTTACGGAGCCCCGCAGGGGACATGGAAGAAAAAAAAATTAAGACGGACTTTTGCGAGATCTCGCAAAACTAACTCGGGATCTCGCAAATTTTGCAAGATCTCGCAAAATTTGCAAGATCTCGCAAAACAAACTCGGGATCTCGCAAAAGTTTTGCGAGCTCTCGCAAAAGTTTTAGCCGCCAGCTCGAAGCCGACCGGGAGGTCGAGGCACGTTGTGCCGGGAAAGCAGTGTTCCTCCCGGCTGTGGTAGGTCTCGACCTCCCGTTAGCTTCGAGATGGTGGGTGTCAGATCTCCGAAAACGTCGGAGCACTTTTGCAAATATGTGATGTCTTGTAAACCGAGCAGATATCTGACGTTTATACAACTACATTCACGCCTCAAAATATCTTAAAAGTTTAATTTGTGACCCAGAAAGAGTGATATTACAACTAAGTAGCTGCCACCATTGTTGGAATTCAACTTTTGCGAGATCTCGCAAAGGTTTTGCGAGATCCCGAGTTTGTTTTGCAAGATCTCGCAAAAGTCCGTCTTAATTTTTTTTCTCCCATGTCCCCTGTGGGGCTCCGTAGAAACTTTAAGTGGAAGCTTTAGAAAAAATCATCTTTTAGACACTAAGTGAGAAATTAGCTTATCTTTGCATTGACTTGAGTCTCTAATCTGACATAGCAACAGACAAGAAAAAATGTAATGAGTGCATTTTCAAATATTGTAGACTTTTTCTTTAATGCACTCAATCAAAAATATGCTTATTGGCTTCAGATATTGGTATAAATATCTGAACCAGGGCGTATTGCTCTTCTTGCTGTGACACCTATTAAATAACCAAGTTGTAATGTATTCACAAGTACGCTTTAAATGTGTGGTGTTAAACATGGTGCGAAACATACAAAACAATATCACAGAATCTAATATACGCTGAATATGGTAAAACAGACCTGCAGACTGAGCAATAGAAAACCTCTCAAACTGCTCAGTCATTTCCTCTGATTCCGTTTGGTCCTGGAAAGAGGAAAAGAAACAAAAAATCAGTCCGTGACGTAAATTAACCTCCTGAGACCCGAACTCTTCCACGGCATGCATTTTTAATTTCTCTTTGATATTTGGGCATATTGGGGCCCAATGAATGTAAAAACAAAGAATTACCAGATTTTTTTTTAACCTTATTTTTGTTTTTATGAAAAATCAGAGCCACCTATGAGGATATTTGTTTAAAATGTTGATAGAACAGTAGCAGTATAACGTCCTCGTCAGTGGATATCAGGCCCTTGTAGAGCAAAATTGAGTATTTTGGTCTAAATAACCCAAAATGTGATGTCCACATATGTGGACGCCAGGTCCTAGGAGGTTAAGAAAAAACAAAAAAATATGCTGCGTCATGTCAAAGTTTCACATAGTAACAAAATTACTTATGTCTATGAAAACAAGAGGTTTGTCCCTCACCAGCTTCTTCAGCACTCCATGAACGGCGTCAATAATTGCACGTTTGTGCATCTTATACAGCTCTTCTGTCACAATTGTGCACACTGCAGAGGGTGTGAAGACAAAACATTAGGGCCAGCCAAGCTGCTCTGGTTTTCTTTAGAGTTTAGATAACCTGGTTTGAAAGATTTCTTCAGCAATTAAAAATGTGAAATGTAAAGTAAATACTGTCCTTAACAAATTTATTAGTCCACCCGTTTAAAACTAAAAGTTATGCTGTTATTTATTAGCCAAATAATGAACTGAATTCACAAATTTATAATCAAATTTACCCAAATTTGAGCTTCTTAAGGAAGCTGGGTTTTGTGTGCATGTAAAGCACTTTGGTTTAAAATGTGTTATAGAAATAAAATCTCCATTTCTTTGCTTAGTCCTGTTCTAATCAATAACAAGAGTCTCCAGCTATGCTAGATGCTTTAAGAATAATGCTAATGTTCAACCTCTGTGGTTCAAAAACTACTTTACTGCATTAAGTATAAAATAGCATAAAAATGGATAATACACATAAGAAATTTAAAAAGCAATAAAAAGGGTGAACAGAAAGACCGCATGACATAAAAGGAAGTTTATAAAACTGTTTCACTGATTCTGCAAGCCTCATCTCCTCAGGCACATCATTAAAAATCTGAGGGACCCTGATGACAAAAGGACCTTCAGATTTAAGCCTTTGCAGAGTCAGTAGGGCCCCACCTCAGGCTCTATGACAACCATCCCACCCAGTTTTCTTACCATGAGAAGTGGGTCTTTGAGCAGGTTTAGCCTCCCAGCATTTCTGCATGAGCTCCATTAGTCGTGCTAACCCGGCACGCCCTGCAGCCAAACAACGGATCTCGTCCAGCGATGGACGGTCTCCCTGCGGGATGCGGAGACGAACTATGCTGGACAATGCATCTGCATCAGAGGGATGTGTGCGTCAGGAGAGCATCAACATTTTACGTTTCTGCACTGATGATTATTTTGAAGTGATGTGTTTAAATTTTCTCTAACAAATAGCTTCATATGAACAAAGGACTAAAAGTAAAGTGTTTTTTGGTTTGCTAAATTTACCTTACTATTATGGGACACTCTCTGCCCTCTTCCAGGGTAGCATAACACTTATGCTATAACATAAGTGTTAACACTTAAGCTTATTGAGTGGCAAAAAGCATGACTTCAAATAAGCCTGCTAATGTTATAAGGTGTCTCTTTGCCAACCAATTCACCAGATAAACTCAATATCTGCACTTTTGATGCAACCGCACAATTGAAACCAGCCCTATTTATTCATATATTTTTATGACTTTCAGAGGTAAAACAAGTTATAAACATGACAGCAGAACATTGTGAACGTTTTTCTCAACATATCAATTACTGTTTCAGGATTTTGTCTTTTAAAAAAGCGAGGGCCATTTTCACACATTTATCTATTGAGTTTTGCAGACATGTGATTGCTAACCATGTACTGTTAACAGTGAGCCACTTAGAGGTGTGAGATTAAGGTGACATTTGGTGACGAAAACACCAAATGAGATGCTGCACTCTATGTGAGAGAGGGTATCTTGGAGGACCACGACTGCCAATGCCATCCTACAAATCACTTAAGAAGAAGAATATTGCTGCATAGTTTGAATGGAAGCGACAGATTTATCTACAAACACTGTCCCGCTGCTCTCAGAGCTGTAACTGAAGTGCGACACAAAGCGAGATTGGAGAAGGTTTGCTGCATGTTTTAGACTATGATGATCTGGATGACTGAGAACCTGCACAGACATACTTGTTATGATGTTGTGATACAGAGCTGAGACACAAGTTTTACTAAAAATTCCTGAACAAAAAACTTAACATGAAAAACTAAAGGAAATTATTGCAATCTGCCAGCAATCAAGGCAATCACAGCTGAACTTTCTTTGCAACTGATTTCACTCACTAACAGAAACATTCAGGATCCACCAATTTTGCGAAATACACATTTTTCCCTAGCAACCAGTGGTTCTATGATGGCCAACTGGGCTTCACTTTTTAGACTGGGAGTAACTGCCATCTGTTATGCTACGTTCACACTGCAAGTCTTAATGCTCAATTCCTATTTTTTGATCAAATCCGATTTTTTTTGTCTGTTTGATGATGATGACCGTTCAAACAGCAGTCGCTTTCTAAAACATCAGATATGTATCGGATTCAGTACCACATACGAAAGTGACCCAGGTCGGATTTGAAAATATCAGATTTGTTCTGTTCAAACTGTCATACCATGATCGGATATGTGTCGCATAGGGTCAAATAAGTCGATTTGATGCGATTTCGCCTGCATTGTGAACGTAGCCTAAGACTCTATGCTGATCACAGACCGTCAAACTTTCTGTTTGACTGTCGGTTCATTGTCTGAAAACAGTCAGTGGAGTCTTTAGTTTAGTTATTCTATCTTCTGGTTACACATGGTGAATTTCCACTATGTGGCTTCAGTTTGCTGCCAGTTAGAATCAAAAACACTGGCTATAAAGGGGGCTCTGTCAATATGCATTCAATCATGTGAAGCTCAGAGTCAAATAAGGATAGAAGCTGTTTTTGAGCCAAGGAGGGGGACGATTGTGGAAGCTACCTACGTGGATATGGTTCTTTTCCTGTGACGATGGACCACAACAGTATACCATAGCTGAAAGAGAGATGGAGAAAATCAAACACAGCAATTATAATAATGTATATCTGCAGTCATTGTCGAGTTTGGCTATCAGTTTGTCAGTCTGCTCCATGACATCAGTAACAACAACACGACCAGATTACAGAGGGAGGAGTTAAGCAACTGGCTGCAGTTCGTCAAATGAGGAAGTCACATGATTACAATTACGATACATTATTCCTCAGCCAAGTTCCCTGGAACCTGTTAACCTCGTGTGTTACCACTCGTATTTTTATTTACCCACCAGCAATGAGCCTGTGGTTAATGGCTGTGGATTAGAATGCAAAGTTCACCATCTAATGTTTTAAGATGAGTGTGAAGGTGAAATTTGACATTGGTACTAATTCCTAAATATCAAAGGAAAAATTGACTCTTTTACCTGTAGATATCAGATGCCCGAGTTGGGTTGTATGAGATGCTAAATGCCTCTGGGGGCATGTAGCTGATAGTTCCCCCTTCTTCTTCGTCGCTGTACTTCTTAGATTTCCGTGTGACACTTTGGGAAAACTTGGCAAGGCCGAAATCTGTAAGCTACACGGAAACAGAGGGAAGGAGAAGATAATCAGGCAGTTTGTTTGGACAAAAATACTGTATTTTACACAAACCCACAGTGCATTGTATTAAAAATATTACTGCTTTATTAAAGACACCTTAAAAGAAACTGCTCAAACTGTTATCTATCTCATTTTACTGCAATCTTTCCGGTCTTTGATGTTATCCATGAAAACAGTCATGGATAATTATTTAAAATTACATTCATGACTTGTGGAGTATGTAAGTTGCACTTGAGTAACCACTGAAATGACAAAGCAAAAAATCCATGCGAAATGCTGAAGTAAAACTACTTTGTAAAAACCCCCCAAAATTAATTATATTGGCCAACTTTCTGAAAATCTTACATTTTAATTTTATAAACACATCACAGAACAAATGTTTTTAAATGTCTTTAGATGTATTAAGAGTTTTAGAGGATATTATTAATTAGAAAAAATAATAGTAGTAATAAAATCATATGTAAGCTAATTTTAAACCATTTTTATTCACCAAAAACCTTTTAATAACCCAATTATTACAGGTGTGCTTCATAATAAAGTAGTCAAGTGGTCTCAATATTAAGCTAACAATAGTAAGAAATGGATTTAAAACTCTTTATTCAAATCAATCTAATATCTGCTAACATATTAAAAAATAAACCCATCTATTCACCAAAATCATCAAAATTTAGCTTCGTTGAGAAAGTTGGACCTATTGCCGCTGTCACAGGGTAAGAGGTAGTCTAGACTCTGGCTATCATTATTGTATTTGTAGAGTCACCAATAAAACACTCAAACATGTAATAAACGTGTCCATTTCATGCTTTGTCTCTTCAAAGCTTGAAAAGGACCTAAATTTAATCATCAACAGATGAACACAAGGTCACCTTGGTTGGTACCAAAGGAGATTTATCAAATAAAGAATTGTTGGCTAACGGCTTGTGATTGACAAGTATTCAGTTGTCTGGGTGGATGCTCTCCATCGCGAACAATCCTGCCAACATCTTTACTCAAGCTACTTTGGAAGTCCTGTTTCTCATAACGTCTCTGATTCAGTCACAGTAAATACAGTTGGATGAGGTTTGGGACTCTTTCAAGAGGAAACTCCACCAGTTTTACTCATTAAAGTCTGTTTACAGTTGTGCAAAGCCTTTTGTGGTAAACACCATGATGTCATTGTGGTTAGGCTAAAGAGTGTGGCTCAAAGTCAGATGGAAAGCATTAGAGAAAATACAATTTTCTTTAAGCAAATAGTATTATTAAATTTCTTTATGACTGGGCCAAGTGTCCCCTTTTTTGGAAATCAAAATATGGTCACCCTAATATAAGACCTCTGCTGGTGATTCAAAGGTTTGAGTTTTCAATGTGAAGAAGAAAACGCAGCTGTTTGTATTTTTCCTTCCAAAATTTATAGAAAATAATTACTTCTAAATCAGCAGAGCACCATTTTAAAGTCTAAACAATCACCTTGGCATTCAGAAAGGAGTCCAGCAGCACGTTGCTCGGCTTTAGGTCCAGGTGCAGCAGAGCAGGAGAGAGATTGTGGAGGAAGTTTATACCTAGGGCCACCTGGTGGGTCAGTCTGAAGGCCAGCGGCCAGGGCGGGGGTCCTTGTAAATTTCTCTGTTAGAGTAAGGGCAGATCGTTTTGGCTTTACACTTTGACAATCTCTTGTCTTACATTTTTCTCATCTAGCTCAGTATAATCTCCTACTCATACATAATTTCTCAATTTAAACCCAGGTATTTGTAACTGGACTCTTCCAGTTCAGCTGCTTTGTTGTTTAAAGATGTTACACATGAAAACCGGCCTAACCTTTAATCCTTATAACAATTTCAAGAAAGAGAACAATCAATATTAGTCTAGAGCCACCCTAAAGGCTCTTTGAGGTTGAGCTTAAAGACACGATGTCTAAATGATTGCAACTGACATGATAATTTAGCATGTTAGCATCAGCTAAGGTAAAGCTAATTATTTTGCAACCAGACATACTGATAAAGTCTGAACTACTGACCGTAAACTGAGTCACAAATATGTGTGGATTTCCCTAAAGGTGAATCCCAATAGACTTCCATGTTATAATGCTCTACTTTTAAGACTTGAAGTTACAGTATGCATAATTAGCGAGTGCTAGGGTTAGCTACAAAGTCCCCTTGTCTACTCTCCTGTCCATATGGATAAAAGACAGTAATGGACTTTTTGTAATGAAATAACCCACACTGCCATAATCATTATTGGGAGTTGTATTGTTCAGCTGAACCTAAACAATATCAAACCAAGATTTATTTACTATTAACTAACATTGATTTCTTCTTATGAGTGGTTCCTAGCTTTATGCACATGACTTGTTACCATGATGGCAATGATTCTTGTACACTGAAAAAAACAATTTATATCTAAGCTCAACCAAACAAGCCCTTAACTTAAAACATGACATTTCCCTGACCCAAGGAGAGGTAGTTTACATGTTGAAAAAAAACAGTACAGCATTTTTAGAAGGGCTTGTTTAGGAAATTTTAGGCCAATCTATCCAATTAATTTTGAGACACTATAATTCGTCAAGCCTTTTGGCCTTCATCTAAGTGGATCAGGTATGTTGTTTACCTGCAGGTTGGCAAGTGATCCTCTCTCCATGAACTCCATGACCAGCCCAAGCTTTACTGGTCCAAAAGAGGGACCATGACCTTTAAAGACCCCAAGGACTGGAATGACGTATGGGCTGCTTCCTTTACACATCATTCTGACTTCACGCAGCAAGGATGAACTGGTCCTGTGTGTGTCGGATTCCCCCGTCAGTAAAATCCAACTCTTGTTATTATCTAAAAACAGTTTGGGTAACCACTTACCCATCGTCATCGTGGAGCAGTTTAACGGCCACATCGCAGCACCACATTTGATGTCTGGCCTTGTAGACTTGTCCGAAACCTCCAGAGCCTTTTACTTCCCAGTCATCCAGATCAGAGTCTCCAATCTCCGCGTGAGTGGGAGAGCTGCGCAGTGCCATATTTCACTAGAATATTATATAAATGAAGACAGCAGGGAAATTTCTTTCGTTATTATACAACTGTAGCTTGTGAATATGTGTAGTGTGTGAATGTGTGTGTGAATGGCATTCAGTGTGGCACTGCTTCATTCAACATGCATACCCATATACAAATGAGAAGTAGGTAAAATAAATACTTTTCTGGGTTTATTTGGCTTGAAATGCCAAAATTGGTACCCAAAGAGCAGAAGTGTTAGCTAAAGACTTTCACGTCATGGAGTTTGAATGTGTTCCCCTTTGAAAAATGTTTACTTCTGTCAGGTGTTACCTTGTTATGTGGTCATCTGTTCAATTTGCTGCCAGCAGCATCATAAATACTGATTTTCTTTATTGTTTCAGTCATTGAGGAAGCTGAACCGTATGTTAGGAGGAACTAAAGTGCCTCTGGTAATGTCCATTTTAAAAGGTAAAATTCAGAGAACTAGCTTTTCAACACACACCTCAACGCCTACACAGGAAACCACACTCTTTGTTTTTCAGGGGCCTTGACACGCTACAAAAATTCCAGAAAGTCGGCAAAATAAAAGAAACGTGTCAACAATGCAGAAACACGACAGCCCTGCTGTGAAAGCTACCTCTGTGGACTTTGTTTTAGTGAACACTGTGAAGTATTAGAGACTTAGTAGCTTCTGTTGTTCCCCTAAACTGCAATTTATACTAATTTAAAGGATGCCTAATGTTGTGTCTTCTTTGAACCAGACTGACACTACATTAAAGTTTGAAACCATTACGAACTCATTGCAAGACACTCACATAAACACTAGTAAGAGAATCTAGTGGATTTTTCAAAACATGGGGAATTACTCACCCTTAGTTATTCGCTCCTCTCTGTCATCATTCAATCATACCGAGTAAGTGTGAAAACCCTTGTTCTTATTCAGTGACTTTCTACTCGCTACTAGAGGCTGGACCTGGTGGAAGCAGAAGCGAAAGTTCAGCTCCGACCAATAAATGTCTTTTTTTTTTTAACTTCTGCTTCTGTCCTGCTCCTTTTTTATTTTTTTTTAACCCTAGTTTTATTTCACAGATTTAAATCTTTAAGTGTTATTTATCACCAAAAAAAAGGGAAGAGGAGAAATAATCAGGTGAAAAGTTACAAAAGACTTTTTTGTTGCTGTGAGAGTAATAATCATTCTGTAAGATTTTTTTTTTAATTTGGCCAGCAGATGGTGCTCAACTCAGTGTGTCAGTAATGTCAGCTGAGTTATAGTAAATGGGAGGGTTTTACAAAATCACAACACCGCAAGTATGGAGGACTGACAAAACAGGCATCACACGCTTTTGTCTTGGCCTGAGCTTCTTTATGTGGATGAATCAGGGCTAAAACACAAATGAGACAAATAAAGACCAGGAAGTAAAGATAATCCTGAAATTAAAATGAATAAATACCCACCAATAAATACAGATAAAATACATTTAAAAATAAAACAGGTAAGAAAAGATAGCATCCTGTGTTGATCTTTTTTTTTTCTTAGGGTAATTTCATTAAAGGTTGGTTAAACATTATAGATGCAGGTTAACTAGCCCTAACTTTGTAACATGATCAATTAAAAACACTGGCATTAAAAGCCAAACACGTCCTTATGTAATGACAACAGTTTATAGGTTCGCATCAACAGGCTTTGTTTCCAGATGATTAAAATAATGACAACACCGCCCCAGTTCAGACATTCCTGTGTCTTGCTTTTTTATTACAGGTGTGTCTGAACACACACCTGACATGTTGTCATTCGATGCAAGCCTGAAAGCAAGACTGATAATTTGCTCTGCAATCATATGCTAAAGAATCAGGGCGTGTGTGCTGAGCATTCTTGTCCTGTAGAGCAGGAACGTCAAACTCAGGTTGAATGAAGGCCATGCTGAATCACAATGACATACAGGGACATAAAGCAAAATTAATCTATAGTGACATGATTTATGTTTAGACCCATTGTCAAAAATGACTGAAATTTCTATAGCAGATTGTAAAGAAAAAAAAAGTGCCTTTTTCTGTCCTATAGCAGATTGTAAAGAAAAAAAAGTGCCTTTTTCTGTCCTTTAATTGTTTATATTAGCTAATTGCTTTGGTGTAGCATGACTGGATTGGAGGATTGGAGTCTTCGTCCAGCCAGTTCTGGCCCACGGGGGTTATGTCTGACAAACCTGATCTAGCAGAAAAAAACAAGCAGACTATTCAGGTTAAAGTTCTAACTGTTAGTTCAGCTACTGTGATCATCTTTGGGTTGCTTTTTCAAACTGACCTTCATAAAGTGTACGATCACGCTGGGTACAGCCAGCCCTTCATGAAACTAGCTGCACATAAAAGTGTTCAAACAGGCTTTGCTCTTGAAAAACAAAGACTGCCTCAGTGAAAAAGAATCCACTGAATGTTCCTCACTATCAAAAACCATCACCTTGTTTGTCACCTTTCATTTTTTCAAGGCTTTTTGTGTTAGCCAGGTACTGAGCATGCAGGTGTGCAGAAAGAGCACCTCTCTGTTTGCACAGCTGCAAATGTTTATTGGGTCTTATCACCAACGGTGATGAGACGGCTTACAGGGAGGAGGTCAGCGCCCTGACCCACTGGTGTCAAGACAACCATCTCACCCTCAACGTCGCAAAGACAAAGGAGTTGATAGTGGACTTCCGGAGGTGCAGAGAAGTACACACCCCCATCACCATCAACGGCGCTGCTGTGGAGAGAGTGAGCAGCTTCCGGTTCCTTGGTGTACATCTGGCTGAGGATCTTACGTGGTCAGTACACACAAACAAAACAGTGAAGAAGGCGCAGCAGCGCCTCTTCTTTCTCAGGAGACTGAAAAGATTCGGCATGAGCCCCCGCATCCTCAGGACCTTCTATCACTGTGCCATTGAGAGCATCCTCACTGGATGCATCACCACCTGGTATGGCAACAGCACCGCCTACAACTGCAAAGCTCTCCAGCGAGTAGTGCGGTGCTCTGAACGGATAATTGGAGGTGAGCTTCCCTCCCTCCAAGACATCTACAGGAAGCGGTGCCTGAGGAAAGCGGGGAGGATCATCAAGGACTCCAGTCACCCCAGCCATAAACTGTTCAGACTACTTCCATCAGGAAGGAGGTTCTGCAGCATCCGGTCCCGTACCAGCAGACTGAGAGACAGCTTCTTCCACCAGGCCATCAGACTGCTGAACACGTCATAGACACCTCAGCTTCACTACTGGAACTTTAACATTATGCACTCCATACTGTACAGTAATGCCACTGTTTTGCACATGTCTCAACTCTGTATATTTTTATATATTTTATTTATTGTTTACTCTATTTAATTTGTAAAATATGTGTATACACACACACACACACACGTAGAAAAATATTTAGTATACACATCCAGAAATGCATATACTATTATATATTGTACATATATTTATTAGTTTCAGATGTAGCCATTCTTGTATTTTGCTTGTTTACATTATTGTATTTTGCACAACTCTGTTGCTTGTGAAGCTCGCACACAAGAATTTCACTCACATGTGCTGTACCAATGTACCTGCACATGTGATGTGACAATAAAAGTGATTTGATTTTGATTTGATTTGATTTATTGGGGACATGAAGGGGGATGTCTCACCTGAGGAGGGCAACATGAGGTGTCATAGGTGGACAGAAATAAAAATCTAGAATTTTCTGCAAAACCAATGGGTTATAATCTTTAAACTTCAAGTTATTTTCTTAATATTGAGCTTTTTCTCAGACGTTTAAGTTCGTGAGTCAGAATTTTCAGATTACAACTCAAGATTTTGGGAAACATTTTAATCAGGTCTGCAGGCCTGACAAGGAGGATTTGCACTGCTGTGCTGTGTTTGGCTGGCTATCAAACCTACATAAGAATGACACAACACGTGGTAAATGTTGCAGCACGTCTAAAACAAAAATGATGCTTACCAACATAAACCACTATTCTCTGAACAGACACGATATAACCACTGATAACAAGTGTTTGTCTTCCTCAGTGACGTGTCATGCAGGAGATAAACTAGAGATAAACGCAACACGTGTACATGCACTTCGTGTTGCAGGAAGGCATTGATTTTCATACAGTCATGTAGTTGCATCTGTGGGGTGGAAGCATCTAGTGAGCATGCTCAGTTGTTTCTGATTCTTTATCAAGATGTAAAGAAGAAAAAATGACTTGGAAGGGCAGTTGATTGTTGATGCACAAGTATCTTCCACAGAAACTGCTTAACACACATCATATGGGGGTTCTAGTGTATACAGAGCTCATTATGTCACACAATGGAGGTTATGGTGGGTGGTAACTCAAAGACGTGTGAAACAGTGATTCTGTGAGGTAAATCATGAGAGCAAGAGAAATGTATGAGGCTGTACAGTAAGCTGTTAGCTGTCACTCAGCAAATAACAGAGGGGTGACAGAATAAAGGGAAAACATAAACCTATGAGAATTTGAGACTAATCAGTGCAGGTAATGTTTTTCAATCTTCTCTCCTCCAGTTTTGAACTGTAGCCTCAGTTTCCTGCTTTTAGCTGACAAGAACGACACCCGCTGCGGTCTTCTGCTGCTGTAGTCTGCTACCAGACTGCTGTGCATCCAAAGATGCTTTTCTGCAAACTTGGTTGGAACGAGATGTTATTTGGGTTACTGTCGGCATCAACAAGGCATTTTCGCACACAGAACTGCCGCTCGCTGGATATTTTCCCTTTTTAGACGGTTCTCTGTAAACACTAGAGATGGTTGTGTGCAAATATACAGTAGATGAGCGGTTTGTGAAATACTCAGACAAGCCTGGCACCAACAACACCATGTTCACTGTCACCCTAAATCCCCTTTCTTCCTCATTCCTCATTCTGATGCTCAGTTTGAACTTCAGACATTTGTCACAATATTATCTGCACCTAGCTGCTGCTGAGTGATTGGCCGATCAGACATCTGTGGTAACAAGCGGTTGAACAAGCGTACCTAATGACATGGCATGTGAGTGGTTAAAAAGGGTCTATGAACAACAGCTGTTGAAGTTCTTTGCTTGTTTTTGTTTTTAAATAAATTTCATGGTAGAAAAATGAGTAAAGCTGTCACCTCATCATATTTTCTGCTATTCAGCAGATCTTACTTCCTTTATAAACACAGTTTTCCCAGACTTTAGGATAATAAATGTATACTTTGGTTTTAGGGAAGCTCCTCAGCTCAGCGATATGACCTAAATCAGACTTTACCCACACAGAAAAGCTTTAAAGGGGATGAGCTCATTGTCATTCATTTTGGATTTGTTGACACCGGATGTAGTGTAGGAGGTAGCAGCTCTCTTCCTGTCTTCGAGACAGACAAACTACCCCCCTTTTTTCCACCTCGAACCGTGGACGGAGACTTTTATTAAAAACCTGCAAATTTAAAAACAAATATCTTTTTTTTTTAAATTTGAGCTACTGAAAGAGAAATGCGTTACCAAACAGCCCAGCTTTCCACTTTACAAAGCCTGTCAGTGAGCAAAGTGAAAAAAATTTAGAAAAACTAGAAAAGGAGCGACAGAAAAACCCGTTCTGACGTCAGTGGAAATCCCCTCTATCTCCATTGTGACTCTGACAAAAGTCAACACCTAAATGTATTTTAAAACACATGTTCCGATGCGTGGTTTAATCACACAGTCGTATATTTTTGTCCAGCTTCACGTAAACAAAAGACAAAACCTATGAGCCCTCCTTTATTTGAATCAATAAAGGAGCATACCGTAAATTCTTTCTGTGTCCGGTAATTCTCCCTTGCAGCCGCGCGCGGCCTCGGCAGGGTTATTATCATCAGGGTATTACTACAGGTGACCCAGTAAGAGGTAACCACCCGGGCCTCGCTCGCTGCTTTAGTTTCGGTTTTGTGCTCGGGGGGTTTCACCGGTTGGTATGATGTCCCTGCCCGGCGCTCACTGGCTTCCTCATCCGCCCGTCCCCTGCTGCCGCCGCCGCTGCAGGGACGTGACTGTGAGCTGTGCTTCCGAGCAGTGCGCGTCGAGGAGCATGTGGTAAACTTTGGACCGCTTGCGTAGTTGTTTTTGTTTTACGGTTGCGGAAGACTGAAGGGGAGCTGCCGCCGCTGTTTCTCCTGGAAACGAAACTTTAACGGCGGGGATCGAGCTCACGTAAGAAAACGACACCGACGCGTTACTGTTATCGTTATTATTTGATGCTTTGATATGTTTAGAAAACCTTTTTTGTGTGTTCCGCTAAGAGAAGCGAGATCGTTTCCTGGAATTCAGATCTAATAGAAAAGCGTTTCCCAAACACCAGGCAGGTCCTAATAGAGCCGAATCATCGGGCCATTGTTTACAGGCTGCTGCTAGATTACAGTTTATTTCTATAAATTAGATCTTTGGCTGGGTGGGAGCTGGAGTGGCGGATTGGCCGTTAAAGCGGATGTTTTGTATGGAGCTGGTAATACTATATGAGTCTTGTTTACATGAACTCCGATGATTTCAGGTACAAAGGTGGCGGAGACGTATTTGTAATGCTGTCATTCTGTGCCCCCTGCTTTGAAATGTGGGTAAGCCTGCATTACAGCGGGTGTTCCCCCAGCCGTTTGACTTGTTGCAGATGACTGTGAGTTACTATATGAGTATTTCCACAAAAAAAGGGGAAACGGTTCCCCTCCAGCCAAGACCTGCTGCATTCAAACACTGCCTCGGTATCACAGGGCTCCCATTATTTCCAGCTTCATATTTTAGTTGTTAGACTCTTCTAGAGCGTGTTTGCATCAGTTATACCCGTGTTTATTGATAACAGGCCATTGGAGCTTCCCTCAGCTTAGGATAGCTTTCTTCTCATTGGCTACATCTGGCAAACAGAAGGCTTGAGCAGAAAATATACACGTAAATGTCATTTTGAGTACACTGTAGTTGTTACATTTATTGTAATCTGGCCAAATGACATGTACTTGAATAGTGAGGATATTTTCCTTGATTTCTTATCATTTAAAATAAATGAACTGTTGATTTTATATATTTCACTTGCATTTTATTCAGAATTATTGCATCATGTTTATGAATTGTGTTTTTGAGTCTGCTTGAAATCTACACCCAATAAGCAAGTCATAACGGCAAACCCTAGAAATTAAGTGATTGCAACCGCACAGGTATACATGCTGGTACCTGGTTGTGTCAGTTATTTTGTAGGTTCTATGCAGGCCCGACGCAGGGCTCTATGTTTAGGTTGAAGATAGACCGGGTTGCTAGTGACCTGCATCAGGTTGAGGTAGGGTTAGGTTTTCATAGGTCCTCTTTTTATGGATAAATGAGGAATGAGTATAAACATGGGCAGCTCAGCTTGACAGGTTTGGAGGCAAGGCTGAGATGGTTTGGACACGAGCAGAGGAGGAAAAGAGGAAGACCGCAGAGGATGTTTTGGATAATAGTGATGGAGAACAGGCAGAAAGAGGGAGGCAACCTCTAAAGAGAGCATCTGAAGTAGGAAGAAGAAGAGTTATCCAGCTGATCTAGACCTCAGAAGCCTAACAGTTGAAACCACAAGCTATACTCTGAACTGGGTGAGCCAAGACCCTCAGGTTCCATGTGCAGTTTCAGGCTTGGAATAGGCTGACAACATTTACTAACCAGTAACTATTTTGATGGTAAACTGATTATGTTTAGATTTTGGACTATTGAACTATTTTTAGATATTTCTTTACATCATTTACGGTCGAAAGAGAGAAAAGGTCAGCATGTGACTGAGGTGTCCAAAAGCTGCACTGACTTGAAACTCCTGTCTTTCGCTGATGTCAGGAAAGATTCCCAGCAGAATGAAATAGAGGAAATGACAAGCTTCCCTCAGACGGGAAAATTCGTAACTGGTTTTCAGCAGGAGCTGCTTAAAGATAGTTAAAATCTACTGTGAGACCTGGTTATCTCTCATGCTTTTTTTGGACTATGTGAGTTCACCTTTCTAAAACTGTAAACATCTTTTTACCCATGTTAGAAAAAAGCCAGCTGTAGTTATCCAAAACACCAGACACTCTAATAACTAAGATATTGACTGGCAGCAGTCTTAGTTTATATGTTTTCTTCCTTTAACCTTTTTTAACCCGACGGATACTGAAATGTGTTTTTCGCAGTATGTTCGACCGTCTGTCACCAATTTAAGAAGAAAGGATGGATGACGAGAGAAGCGACGCAGGCGGAGGAGAGGCGGAGTTGGAGGATGAGTTTGCGTGCGCCGGGATGCTGCGGGGGTCTCTGACCTCCCTGCACAGCACGGTGGAGCGGATATTCAGTGTGGCGTTCAGCATCGGGGCGGACGATTTGCCTCACGGCAGCAACGGCCAAATATGGCTGAAACTGCGAGGGCCGAGCGCCAGTGTGAAAGCCGCCAAGGTGAGGCCCTGCTCTTGTTTATAATGCCCTATCAGTCCAGAACAGAGATAAGTTATTAGGCAGTGTGGCTCATAAACACGATGGAAGTTGACTTTGCCAGAGGTTGCTCACTGCAGTAACCTCTGGCCAAGTCCAGTTTCACTTATCAGTAATTCTAACTGGTAACTGAAACTGGACTTGAGTTCACATTAGTGGTGCTAATTTTTCCTTATCCAGTGTGACTGCATTGATTTTACGCTTTAGTTTAAAACGTTGCCACAGCAGTGAAAGAAAACAAGCCAGAATACCATTTATGGGGAGCTTTAGCAGTTAAGTAGTAATCAACAGCTGATAGCTCAAGGGCCACTCTGTTACCAGAGTGGGAGGGGCGTGACGGTGGGAGGGGCGTGACAGTGACCCATATTTGCTTTATAACCACAACAAACTCACTGTGATGAATTATACACCTTCTATTTAGAGCTGGATCAGGTGACCTTAGTTACGTGTTTCTTTCTATTATTGTATCATCTTTACATTACAATATAAAGTCTTGAGGCCACTGTTGTTGTGATTTGGCTCCATATTAATAAAACTGAACTGAATTAATGTATGTGCTGTGACTTACTTAGAAGTACTGCAAAGAGAGCCAGAGAGACATCAAAATGTCCAAAAAGCACACCTCGCTGTTGCTAATCAAGCAGGAGGGAGGTGCGAGATAAAGTGTGCGTCTGAGTAGTCAAATATTTGCGTACGGTAGCTGGAAATTATTTAAGAGCTGTGAAACTGAAGCGCTTTCATCACCCCTACTCTCATTTCTCGGCAATATCCCTTTTAAGGAATATTTGCCCGTTCGTTACTTTGAGCTTCTCATCACGATCTGTCATTTCAGGAGGCCTTTTCTTTCTCTTTTAGTGTTTAATCTTTCTTGCATCAACTTTCACACGAAATCTTTTCTTCTTTATCCGAATCACAGCCTTTATCTCAGGGGCCGCCCGAGCCAGTTTTTGGCCTTTCTTTTGCCTAATCACTCAAGTAAACAAGTTTCCTGTGCAATCATTCAGATTTTACTGTTATTTCAGTGTCGTCGCCCGCCCCGCTTTCTCCATTGTGCACCATATTTCTGCATCCTCGTGCAGGGCTAACCCACTTTTGTCATTAACCCAGCTGTAAATTTAGTTGGGTTTTTTGTGTCTACAGTCTACTGAGTGTTAAGGGACCATTCCCAGGTAATGAGTCATCAAAGTTTTTTAAGTGTTGTTTCACCCGTTAGGTTTCAGTCCACATATGCAAGTGCCTGTTGACACATGCAGTCAGAAAGATTCGTTCACTCATACAAAGACTAGCAGACTGATGCACTGCAAAGTCAGTCGCTGTAGTGTAACAGTAGTAGCTGTAATCACACCATTGTCGGGCATATAGGCAGTTTGAGAAGACATGCAAACCTCTTTGCTAAAGGCCAGCTTGACTGAGTGATATGTCAGTGTATTGTGTTTTATTTATTTTTATATTGTTTTACTGTCCTGTTTTAGCTGTGTCTAAAAACAATTCTCCTTCATGTGGAGACCGCAGCTGTGGATGTTCAAACGAGAATAGTAGGTGTAAAAATGACCAACGGAGGTGGAGATAGAGTCAGTCAGTGGATCTGCTGCAGCTGCTGTCAGCGAGATGATTTTATAAACATAAACTATAATAAACTGCTTATTACTTTTCCTGCTTTCTTTAACGTCCGCAGCTAGATTAGAGCGTGGACGTTGCAGACTTTGAAACTTAAGCACAAATAGGGGAAGGTGGATCTCCTGTGGATGGACTTCAGTGGGGTCAGGGTTCAGTCATTCGCACCGAGACCATTTAGAGGAGGTGGTCTTGGCTCGGTCCCAAACAGACTACGAAGCGTGTTTATGGTGAGAACGTGATCTGACCTCAATCTGACTGCATGTTTGAGCTAAACGCCTTCGCGTAGCTAGATATGCTTTACGAAATGTAAAGTGTTTCCCAGATAAACACAAATTTATCCATGTTATCCACTAGGTAGTACACAATACCTAGACACATCCGGCTAGTAAGTGGACTGACCGTTCTCGTGCAGTCAGTCCTTTGGTGTCTCTGAACTTCCACCTTTCTCTCTAAGTGTAGAAAATAATCAAAACCTTAAATATTCCCAGCACGATGCATGGACAGAGCATTCAACTCTGGCTCTTCCCATGGAGCTTCTTTTTCATAATTACTAAAGTTTAACAACACTATTTTGTTTTTTTGTTTATTTTTTTCAGTTATTTGTGAAAGGAGTTGTGAACCAGGAGGAACAGCAGGAGATTAAGTATCCTGGGGTGCTTCACTGTGTCTTCTGCGGAGCCAAAGGCCTGTTCATGGACAGCCTGATCAAAAGCACCTCAGCACATATAGTGGTAAGAGCTCAACAACAGGCCGGTTTCACAGTAATAGTTACTATAGAGAGGCATTTGTTACACCTTTGTTTGCCTACTACATTGGTTCTCTAACCTTTTAATAACTTCAGTATTACTGAATAGATATTTTTATTAAAGATGCACAAATTGTAGAAATCTGAGCTGATATTGATATTAGAATAACAACAGTTTTTTTTTCTTTTTTTGTATTTATTTCCACTTTTGCCCCAAATAGGCAAAGAAATCCTCCTTATAAACAATACCTGATCTGTTTTAAAGCCTTTCAGTTTGTCATTGCCCAATTTTTAACGGGTAGCAACCAATGTGACACAACTGATGTGCATATAATTATGGGTATTAATGTCATGGTCATTTGGGGCATTTAATGATTTCTTTGAAGTGTTCTTTTTCCAGGGTGGGATAAGCACTGCATACATAATCTTTATTGACTTAAAAACAAGAATTGTGTTCACCAGTTTCAATTTGTTATGGATTGTCTCTAGTCATGATATCTAGAACCCATTGGGAGTGTACAGAAGTTCATTTCTGGGTCTCAGAGACTTAAAATGAAAAAAACACATTAAATGAAAGTAAAAAAGGTTTAAAGGGTGTAATACATTAACAAGCTTAGTGTGCCATTATTCACTGATGATGCAACAAAGTGACTAATAGTGTGATATCAAGAGATTACAGTCCTGTTATTCCAATAAGAAATCACATTATTAGTCAATATCAGTTTTACGCCATCAGATGGAAATGTGTCACACGCCTTCCACAAGTTAAAAACTGCCTTCAAAACTAAGACCGTGAAACAGTTTTTGGGAACTTCTGGTCTGTTCTTAAGACGACTTATAGACCGTAAAAATGCAACTCTGCATTCTGACAACTTTCTTTTTCAGTATGATTTGTTGCCCATAAATTTCTTGGAACGTATCTTAATAATCTTACTTAAGAGGAAGAGGAAACTCCAGTAAGAATATTTTGAGGTCCCAGTTTTAATGTGTGTAAATGTTTAAATTAAGGCTTAAGGAGTGAGTTTTATGGGTGACTACCTGATTTCCAGGTAGGAGCTAAGGCCATGTCCATGCAGGACATGGACCCAGTAGTTTTGTCCATATGGTGCACTTTTGCTTTACTATGAGCTTGAGGTCGTCTGGCCATTCTCCTCTGACGTCTGGCTTTTCCAACCACTGGCACCAATATCCATGCACATTCAAAATCACTTGCTTGGTTGATGCTTGGTTTGAACTTGAACGGGTTGTTGCCATGTGACTGGCTGATTAGACATCTGCTTTAATGAACAGTTGAACAAGTGTACCTAACAAAGTGTCCTGTACGTGTATGTAACTGTACTGGCAGATTTCCACACCTGGAGAAGCCATAGACTGTAATGAAAACGTTGCCACCCTGACACCTACCATTGGCCTCTCCCATGGGTTCATAATTCCATGACTTAACTTTACCATTACAGCCGTCACCATCCTGCTTCCTTTTTTTAGTTTCTCAGTCTTTTTTAAATAGATTCTGTATTTGAATATGAAGAATTTGTAGGCGAGAATGGTATTTACTCTGTTTGGAGTGTGCTTATAGTTTTGGTTGCACGCAGGTGAATCATCCAGTCTTTCAAGTAGTGATGGTTTATGTTGAAATGCAAATACTGAAATACTCATTGGATACTGTCAGACAATGATTTGTCTTTCTATTAAGTTTTTATTGAATTTTCATGCATTGTATGATATAATGGTCCGTGGATACAAGACCTGAAAATTAACAGTTGGTCCACAATCCATTAAAGGAAACAGCAAAGGCAAAATAAATAAATTAAACATTGACCTGTTTAAGTAGAACTCTTTTATTCTTTTGTTTTGGTCTTTTTTGGTCTAAATGATCTGTTATATTATTATTTTTCAGTCATTGGTAGAACTCAAAATTAATGCCTTTCTGTCTTTCTCCTACCAAATCAGGTCGGCTCTCCAGGATTCCTGCTCATATCTGGCCTGGTGGAGCCGGTGGTGCGAGCCTACTCTCTTATTACAGACCTGGTAGAGAGGTATGAGGGCACACAGTCCAAGCGCATGGGGGACGGAGGCTCAGGTGAGTCCCTGGATTCACGACGGGCCTTTAAAACTCTGGTGGAGAAGTGGGAAGACAGGCACATCCTGGATCTTCTTGTGCTGCCAGGATCAGTAAAGGAAATCCTGTTGGACTTGGTGAAAGAAACGGGACTTGGATCAAGCCCTAGTTCATCACTGACTGATGTAAATACAGAGGCAAGGCCACATGGGGATTCAGAGGATAGGTCTAAAATACCCAGTGCCCTCAAGCAAACAGTCCCTGATTCTTCTACCACTACTGAGCGATGGGCTGAAGGGATGGCTGCAGGCGCAGGAAATGACTTTGCAAATAAAGACTCCTTCCAGGCTTTTTCCATGTCTGCAGGCACCCGAGGGAGGGCAGAGGGTGCTGAGGAAAGACCCACGCATTCACCACAGGAGGTGGGAGAAGAGCACTTGGGCCAAGCAACAGCATCTGGGAAGGAAAAAGAGCAGGAGTTGCAGCTGTCGATGGGAAACAAGGAGTTTTGGCTTCTTTTGAAATTCTTTACCGCCATGGGATACACAGAGGAGGTTGTGAAACGAGTGCTTGCCAGAACAGGACCTAAAGAGGCATCGCAGATTCTGGACTTAGTTCAACAGGAGCAGGACCGCAGTGACCAAGAGCAGAGGAATCGGGTTCTCCCAAACCCAAAGAGGGGAGGTGCTGTCGACCTGAATCAGACAGAGAAAAACCGACCCTGTGAGACAGAACACAGAGAAGATGGGGGAGAAATAGCAGGAGGCGGTGGAGCCATACGTAGCGATGGAGAAACAGAAGAAGGACGAGAGGGGGAAGACGCAACAGGGGATGCAAGACACAATCAGGGAAAAGTCAGCGTAGACGTAATGAATAAAGAGCAAGAGGAAGACTTTGTGCTGGGGGTGTTGAAGAAAGCGGCAGCCAGCTGTGGGTACCCCGAACAGAACGTAACCAAACTGTACAACTTGTTGCCTGATGGATCGACTCACCAGCTGCTCCTGCAGCTGCAGAAAGAGGGAGTCAAAGAGGCAGGAGCCTTCAGAGAAGGACCGAGAGAGATGGATGATGTGGTCTTGGACACTGGCGGGTCAAAACTTCAAATAATACCAGAACTTCAGCCTTATACACCTCCCGAAGAGAGAGAATTCGATGGGCGAGAAAAGATAAGGGTGTCAAGGATTGATAGTAGTGTCCCTATTGAGGGACGAGATATTTGGAATAATAAACCCCAGCAGTCACGGGTGACCTTGTACACCTCACAGCAAAAGCAACACCAGCCTTCAAAGTCACAAACTCCTCACGACATCATCCTACCTGGGGTCAAAGGGCCACCAATGCCTACTTATGCCTCATCCATGGATCCTCAGCTCACCAATTTCCAATCTCATAAGCAACAAGGCAACACCAACTACTTGCCTAATCCATCTCCCACAAAACAGAATCATCATGCTCAGAACAATGGCTCAAAGCACTCCTTTAAGCAAGCCCTTCAAGCTCCTCAGCCTTTATTCCCTGGCACGAAGGACTCGTCTCCCACCAGAGCGAGGGACAAACAGGGTTTCGTGTCTAGTCCTTCAGTGGTGGTGACAGGAGAGCAGCGATTCTTGGAGAGCCTGCAGATCCCCTTTGAACTCAAGCTGACAGACCAGCCCGGAGACCCAACACTGAGGACGATCATAATTGATGGGAGTAACGTGGCTATGAGGTAAGAATTACAGCAAATAAAGGTCGTACTGGGAAAATGCGGTAAAGTATACAATAGAGTAGAAGATTTATTTTGGTGGGGTGTTTATGAGAAGGGAATATGAGAACAGGAAATATAGATAGTCCTGTTAGGCCAAATGTGAAGGACTTCTTGAGAATTTGAAAACATATTTAGAAATGAGGATCTACTCTTTGTGTCCTTTTGCTCTAAAAGCAAAAGCTTAAAATGAAAGATATAGTTATTATTCCAGCTTAGTGGTACATTATGCCACAGTTTATGAATGTGCATGATTAGTTGAGTGCATGTTTACACATTTAAACATGTTATAACAATGGAATTGTGCATTAATAAGATACCCATGCTGCAGTGGGCCTCTGTAAACTTTCCGGGAATGGTGATTGTATTTTCTCATGTAGTAGATGGTAAAGGAACACCTGTGGCTGATGTGTAGACTCTGTTTAAAGATTTATAAAGTTGTGATGGCAGTGTGTTCATTAATAATTGTAGTCTGCGATGGGCTTACCTACCCAGCGAGTGGGAGCAGGAAGATAAACTGACCCAGAACTATTGGCGAAGCATGACGTTTACACAGAAACACAAAGCGAAGGGAAGGAACAGAGATCTATGCATGTAGGTGCTAAACAGTTTTTTTAAAGGGTTTGATGGGTAAGAGTAGGCACCATCAACAAATGCATATGCTGCAGTCATTTTTACCTCAGAGCTGGGAGTTGCATTGGTCCCGATTTGACCGTGTGATCAGTTACGACCCGGCTCAAAAGCCGCAACAAAAAAGAGAGGAGACGAATACCAGATTGTAGGTGAGAAGAGGTTTTAATCCTAAAATGCATAGCAGGTTGGCTAACATGGCTGGTACCACCAAGGCACGGCTGGTGAGGCTTTTTGAAAGCCTGCCTCAGATATGCTTTTATCAACACCTGACTAGGTGTGGCCAATTACCACCAGCTGAACACACTGAGGAGATTAGGGGCTGCAGAGGGACGTAGCAACACATTTTGGTTTCTTCGAACTGCATGGGTAAAGCCTGATGCTCTTCATATGGCTTATTTGGTGAACCACAAATACACGATAGTGGTAATACCGAGTGCTAGTTTTGCAGTTTCACTACTGTTTTGCTATCCTGGATTGGGAAATCTGGTTTAGTGGGCCTTCTCTGACTTTTCGAGTGGAAATTCCAACTTGAAGGGTTATTCTGGTGGAAAATATAAGTGCAACATATCATCAGAGATACAGATGTCAAACAAAGGGGTGATAAGGTCACAAGGTCCGATACTGCGGGGAATTAGGAACTGTTTCGTGATTAGCATAGTGACATGTAGCCTAGTTCCTCTTAGGTGTATTTTTATCTGTTGCTTTTGATTGGACAGCACAATCGTCAAAAGTCAGAGGTTCCAAGAACTGGAAGTCAGCATATTATTCTTCACTGCACTTCAACTTCAATGTTAATGTTTGTTGGAGACGCACATAGTGATAAAAGAGAAAGAAAGTCCAGTGAACTGTGATCATATGAAGCATTATTTGTAACACTTTAATGGCAATCTTCATTTTTCCACAGTCACGGACTGGGTCATTTCTTCTCCTCTCGTGGAATCGCTCTGGCTGTACAGCACTTCTGGGACCGAGGCCATCGTCAAATCAGCGCCCTGATTCCACAGTGGAGGCAAAAGAGCGACCCCAGGGTCAAAGGTAACGCTTTAAAACTTACGTAATGTGTTGCTGAAATTGAACTCTTGTCAGTGTCAGGAGAGTGTCATAACGTTATCACATAATGATGTTCTCTTCTCTCACACGTAGCACACAGCAGGAAATGTGAGCAGTTTTTTTTATTACTGGAATACACTCGGTTTAAGTTTTGACTTACAGACATGTGAAAAAGAAAGTCTTTCACATGACTGTGAATAATTAGGTACACCCAATGAATTGTTGACTTTATCAGTCTCTCATATCATTGTGGAGGAATTTTGGCCCACGTTACAAAATTGCTTCAGTTCGTTGAGGTTTTCAGGCATGAGTTGGTGCGCAGCTCTGTTAAGGTCTATTCACAACATTTCAGTCGGGTTAAAGTCTGGAGTTTTTTCACAGCACCTTGATTTTTTTCTTTTTCAGCTATTTTGTTGTAGATTTGCTGCAAGTGCTTTCTATCTAACATTCACATGCATTCATTCCCTGATGGATGCATCTATCTATGGATGTTAGCATCCATAGATAGAAGCTTGGGCAACATGCCCAAGGATATTAGCAGATGAGCTGCTCTACCTCCTGGGCTACAGCCAACCCCATGCTGTGCATTATGGTATTATATTAGCATCTACACCAGAAATCTTGTTGTTTTTTCAGATGTCGCCTTTTAAATCTAAGCTGTGCTGTCATGTTCTTTTTAGAGAGATGAGTCTTTCTTCTGGCCGCCCTTAGAAAACAAACCATACTTATTTAGTCTTTTTCTAACTGTGCTGTCACGAACTTGCTAACTGAGCCCTGTAGAGTCTGAGATGTAGCCATTGGTTGTTGTTTTTTTTTGTGTGGTTTTTTTTTTTACAGTTTCTGTGGATAAATTATTATTATTCAAGTCATTACATTTTTGTCATCATAAGTGAATGCCTGGCTAATCTGGCTCAGCTGTAGAGCAGAGGTTTCAGGGGGCAGTGCCAGGAGAGCCTAGTATGCGTTTTCGGTGTCCCATTTAACACAGTAGCATCCTCGGGCTGGGAGAGAACCTCACGGGTGGCAGCTGGAGAAGCCAGAAGAACTGAGCGAAAACCGGGCATTATTTGAGAAGACAATTTTAAAAAGTGGAAGTCAACAAGAAAATAAAGAACACAGGCAAAGCCGAGCACTGTGTCCAAGTGTTTGTGTGCTGGGAAAAACCTGCTAGACTATGGAAGCATGAAGGGTGTATTTAATTTTTCAGAGCACTGGTGTAGGTAGGAGAGCTGTGTAAGCCGAGAGCATGCAGCTCTCAGCTTACATGACACCTTCCTGCTTTTACTGCCAGAGTTTACTGGCCAATACTTCCTTCTGTTCGCACATAGTTGCCACAAAGGAGCTGACAGGTTAAAGTCAGATAAATATAAAGCACTGGAAGAGTGACGTGTGTAGACTTTAGGGCCCCAGCTAAGAAAAATCTTGATTTATGATTCATTTCTTGATTATTTTTTTGTTGAAGTAAGAAACTTAGTTTAGTCTGTCAGAGGTAACAAATGTGTTGCATAAGACACCGTGTCTCCGATCACAATCGAACCAGCAACTTTTGCTTGCTAAGCAAATGTGTTAAACTCAGTTAATAAAAACAAAGCTTTACTGTTGATGAAGCTCAATTTAAATGAGTGATTGAAACTGCAGCTTTAGAAAATATTTCACTAAAAGGTTTAATTCCAAAAATTCTACTTCATGGCTATAACTTCCGCTCTATGAGTGTGTAGCTAGCATCTCATTGGGGTCAGGCTGTGACCCCATTGTTGTGCGTGTTTGCTCCTTGCTCCTGCTAACTCTGGATTCTGCAAAAGACTTCAAACGAGAAAACAAGTCATGCTTGGTGAATGCAGACTTCATGTGAGCTTTCAGCATGCGTGTGGGTGTTTCCCCTCATAGCAGACTGCTTCGTAAACAAAGAGTTGTTTGTGTCTGTCTCTCAGAGAAGCACTATCTGACAGAGCTGCAGCAGCTGGGCCTGCTCTCCTACACGCCATCCAGAGAGGTCCAAGGCAAGAGGATCAGCTCGTATGATGACAGGTACAAGACACTGAGATATTGTTTTGTTTACACAACCCATCACATTTCATGTGGTTTTGTTGCTGTACACACTCCAGTCTATCTGGATACAGTTCAGATAAGCCAAAAATTGATACCCATGTCTTTGTGTTTATGCAGAATGATACTGCAGCACGCACAGAAGACAGGCGGAGTGATCGTGACCAACGACAACCTGAGGGACCTCTTGGACGAGTCCCCCGTATGGAGGGACATCATTAAAAAGAGGTAGGGCAGTGCTGCGCAGTCAGGGGGACTGAAATTTTGATTTGCACTGAAATGGTTTCACTCACATTTACCAAATGTAATAAAAAATCAGTCTCCGGACGTTTTTGTCCTTTTTTATCTAAAAGATCCAAAAAGTTGGGTTGACAGAAAATACTGTCAATACCCTAAACAATGTTTTTCACTAAATACATTTTTCCTCTGTGATCTGTTGCTGCTCGTCCAGTCTTCTTCAGTACACTTTTGTCGGGGATCACTTCATGGTCCCTGATGACCCTCTTGGAAGAGGAGGGCCTCACCTGGATGACTTCCTGCGTTCAGAGCATAGGTAACAGACCCAAGATATCCGATCTTACCCAATCCTTTGAGAATAATTTCACATGATGCTTCATTTTCCTTCTCAACATCTTTCAGGAGTCCAAATCCAGGAAATCACTCTTTTGCTGGCTCGGCCTCATCTTTCAGTTCCTCCAAACAGCCACGCTCCCAAACAGAGGTCATCAACTTCCGTGACCGAACACTAGGGGGCGCACTGGACGCTTTGGGAGCAGCCGGCAGGGGTAGAGGGAGGGGGCAAGGAAAGGGATGGGACATGGGACAGAAGCAGAAGCAGTATGGTGCTACAGGTCATGGCCAGGGGGTCCGGACCGAGAGGAGTCCTGAAGAAACAGCCAGCCTGAGAGAGCAGCTCTGTCAGGTTTTCCCTAATCAGGACAACATGGTGACGCTGGTGCTGCAGTGCCACTCGGCAGAGACGGACATCAACGTGCTGTCTGATCTGATTTTGGAGCAGCAATCAACAAACTAGAAATCTCTCAGTTTTAGTGTTTCACCATAGAGTTTTCTCACAGAGTTGTTATTCATTTTCTCGTGTGACTATAGACTCTATGTAAAAGATGGATTTTAGCAACTGTGACATCATCCATTGGTTTGTTTGTTTTTTTAATCAGAACCATTGAAGGTGAAGTGGATTTAGCTGAGAAAATTAGAATATTGTACACTCAGTTTTGGCCAGTGTTGCCAACTTAGCGAGTTTTCAGGCCTCCTCAGCATCTTTTTTTCTAAAAAGCGACTAGCGACAAATCTGGCGACTTTTGGTGGTGTTATTAGGAAGACTTAGAACCACTTTTTGACGTGAAAGCACGTATCACTCTTTCTCTCAACAAGCAGCGGATGTCGCCATGGGCACCTCGCCTGTGCCAAAGCGCTCACAGGTGACGGATTGTTGTCACGCAGCAGTCGCAACCCAGCTGCTGTCAGAGCAGGAGATGTTGACCCCCTACGCCTCCAAAACTGCAAATGAATGGCGCATGAGTGACTGACTGTAACACAGTCAGTTCTTCTTTTGCTCCAACTTTTTGCAAATCACAAAGTTTAAAGCTACACACACACAAAGTAATTCTGCCAGAGTGCCTATTTCAGGTCACTTTTGGCAGTACCCAGCCCAGACACAGGAGGTGGGTTAGAATTGTGACATAAAAAAAACAATAATTGCTAAAAGAAATTTAATTTGTAGTTCTAAATATATTCTAAATTAATTTATTGTGTTTTTTACTCACTTTATGTCTCTTCCACGATATTTCTCTCTCCTACAACATAGGTTACAATTACATAAGCATGACCAATTGTGCAAATTAGGTAATGACGTTATTTAGCAACTTCTAGGACAGCCAATAGCGATTTTCCTTACTGAGGAGTTGGCAACACTGGTTTTGGCTTCACATTTCAAATTCGGAGGTTACATCCATCTCCCATATACAGTCTGTATGGATATAGCACAACAGCAACTACAAAGAAAGATAGATAGATAGATAGATAGATAGATAGATAGATAGATAGATAGATCCTTAATTAAAGCTAAAACTAGACCAGCTCTGTCAACTGAACCAGGAAAATCCCTCAGTGATTGTCAGTTCATTATTTGTGTTTGTTGTTTTGATTTTTCTTTCAGAACTATACAGATGTATTATTCTTCTACATTTATGCATTGCTGTCAGTGTTTATTGTGTATTTTATGTTAGTCTGATTTCTGTCAAAGCACCAGTAAAACTGAAGACATTCCAGTGTAGCTTTAATGCCAAATACTGGCATGCTAACACACCAAACTAATGTGAATATATGGTTAATACATTAGTTAGCATTCTGACGCATTAAATTGACATCTAAAAATTTGGTCAAGACATAAGTTAGATGCTAAATCACCTAATTGACACACAAACATATGGTTAACGCCTTAGTTAGCTTGCTAATTACCAAACGAACACATAAGCATGAATATATTAGCTAGAATGTTAACATACATAGTTAGCGTTTTAGCATGCAAAAACACCAAATTAACATTTTGGTTCTGACACACCAAATTAATGTAAATATATATAAACATATTGGTTAGCATGCTAATATTGACATTTAGCTTTAGTACAGCTTCCTAGGTTTAAGTTGGTTTTATGGTTGAGCAGAGGTAGCAGGGACTGCCCGTCCACCTGCAGTGAGCGCTGTTGTCAGATGGAGGCAGTGTACAAGGTATGTTACCGCCATTGTGCAGGCTACTTTTGTTTGTCTGTGAGCGAATTTTTTACATACAGAGAGCTGAAGTGAAACCGAGTGTTAAAAACTATGAAAATATTACTGCAGCCACTGTCTGTGCTATTCGTGCTTTATTTTTTTTAGTCATTTTTCGAGGTTGCTCCCTTCTCTATTCCAGCCCACTTGTCAACCAGTCAGCATTCTGCAGTTGCAAATATCATCCACTTACAGCGACCTGCAGTCTAGATCTCAAAGGACTGCATGGGAGAGCGTCTTGGGTGGGGGAAAACCCCCCTGTTTGACCAAAAGCTGTACGCAGATGGACACATTTGTGACCATAAAACCAGCCTTAGAGACACTAGCTCAGCCACAGAGTCTTATTTTTATTTTTTTGTATTTTTATAAGACTAATATAGTCATTGTGTAATGACACCTATTAACTATCTTTCTCCGGGTAGTTTTAACTCTGGGAAAACGATTGTGAATCCCATATGGTATCATAACAGAGCCATTTTATAAACAGTTAGTCTGCCTTGGGTAATATAAAATTACATATTTTGTGTATTTTTCTGTTGTTTTTCCTTTAATTTTACAGCCACCGGTTTACTTAGAAAATAGGTTGAAAGATTTCTCAGAGGTACATAGTTGGCACTGAGAATAGATTTTTGGATATACAGTAACTGGTGTAAGAGTGTGTCATGCTGAGAAAGTAAAAACCCAACTTTGCAAAAATCTGCACAATTATATATTTTAACTTATTTTAATTAGGTCTTTTGTTTCGCATAACTTTGGTTATGAGTCTATAATTATATCTTTAAGGTATGTCTGGATGAAGAAATTAAGAGCAAACCAAAACATGGAAAATTCATTCTTCATCCAAATGTCATTGTTAATGTGGGCTACTTCAGTGTGAGTAAATAGCCATAATCTTATTTGTATTGTTAATATTTATATATTTTATTCTTGTTCGTAATTAAAATATTTTTTTAAATGGTGTTTCTATTGTCCTCTGTCAATTTCTGTCCTGTGTCCATCAGGATGTATTGTTCTCCAGCTAAAGCGAGGGAGTATGTAATCGATTGAGTTTGTTTGTCTGTCTGTCTGTTTGTTAGCAGTCTGGTTTTTGAGATATCATTTTTAAAATTTGTGTGACGGTAGATTGCTAAAAACAGCTGTATATTACCCACAGCTTACTCGATCATCTTCAAGCCTCACAACAATAATCCAGGCCTTGGGAGATGTAAGTGCCTAGGAGGGCTAAGCATTTGATCTTAACCTTCATTGTTCATCCCTAAGATCAAAGCTCACCTTCAAGAAATATATGAAGAAACCGTCCATCCATCTTCGTGCTCTTTATCCGGGGCCGGGTCGCGGGGGCAGTGGCCTAAACAGAGAGGCCCAGACCTCCCTCTCCCCAGCCACCTCCTCCAGCTTGTCCGGGGAACACCCAGGCATTCGCAGGCAAGCCGAGAGATATAATTTCTCCAGCGTTTCCTGGGTCTGACCAGGGTCTTCCTCCTGGTGGGACATGCCCGGAACACCTCACCCAGGAGGCGCCCAGGGGGTATATTTGTCAGTTGCCCGAACCACCTCAGCTGGCTCCTTCCGATGCGAAGAACAGCGGCTCTACTCTGAGCCCCTTTCGGATGGCCAAGCTTCTCACCCTATCTCTAAGGGAGAGGCCAGCCACCCTTCAGAGGAAGCTCATTTCCACCGTCACTACCCACAGCTAGTGACCATAGGTGAGGGTAGGGACGTACAGTGGCTTGCAAAAGTATTCGGCCCCCTTGAACTTTTCCAGTAGAAAAAGCCAATATGAAGAAACCATATTAAGAGAAGATTTGTTTTTTCAATATCTTGCCCTATAATGTTACATTGGTGCCATAAAAGCTGATGTCATCATATTGTAATATAAAAATCCTAAAACAAGTTTTTGTATAGTCCTTGCCCTATGAGGGAGCTGCACTCTCTTCTTTTTCTTACCTTCTATCATTTTTACACTTACAATTTTGGAACATGGCTAAAAGTTTAAGTGAAACAGGGTACATGTAATGTGGATGTAATCTCTGTAAACAAGGAGCTCAGGCTTCCGAAGGCTATTGAACTTGTAGGTATATGCACATAACTATCATGATGTGCTACTGACACCTCCTATTTGTGAGGACCAGCCAATGAGAAGAAGGCTGTCTTAAAGGAACAGAGAGCATATCCATACCAAGGCCCAGGAATAAATTGTATGGGAATCATGTTTTAAAAACACAACCTAATTGAGTGTTATTGCTGATCACGACCATCCCTGTATGACCACAGTGTACTCTCCTCTGATGACTGCTTCCTGTAAAATAACGCACCGTGTCACAAAGTTTAGATAATCTCAAACTTATTTTTGAGCATGAAAATTGCTTCACTGTCCTCAAAAGGCCTCCACAGTCACCAGATCTCAGTCCAACTGTGTGATGCTGTCATGTCAGTGTCGAACAAAGTCTCTGACGAATGTTTCCAGCACCTCGTTGAATCTATGCCATGAAGAATTAAAGCAGTTCAAAATGTAGTTTATTTTTAATAAAGCATTATGCTTCGTATTTTTTTGTAATCTAGAGTAAAAGATAGGTCTCATGTTGGATTTGTTCATATTTTTTGAGTACACAAACACATGTTGTAAAACCCAAATAAGGAAAAGCTGTATTTTATTATCTTTCCCAAATGAATCAGATTTATAGACTTTTATCTCAGCAGCCATAAACAACAGGAATAACCCAGAGGGGAATTATTAATTTTGATAACGACGGCTCTGTTTCAGAAATGAGAGGAACACAGCCATGGATAATATTAGTTCCAGCCCTGTTTGAACAAACCAACCATTCAGATTTGCATTATATTTTCCCCTAATCATCATTTTGGAGCCTTGGCACCAGACAGAGAAACATTAAAAGGCATGTGAGAGTAAATTTAAAGGGGCATTCAAACTCATTTGCATATGTGGTGTCTTTTCAGTCAGCATCAGTTTGGACATGAGAAGAACATGGGGCTGTATACAGGAAATGCAGTGGAGAAACAAACTAAAAGCCCTGCATCTCTGCTTCACCGCAGCTACACAAGTCCACACCTGCTGCTTACATAATAGTTTAAATTGTGTCTTTACTTTGTTACTAGCAGCCTGTCACAAAACAGATCATTTGTTCTTTAACTGAAGAATGAAGAAGACTTTCAAACTTGATAGAACTGTACAAACTCTGTGTTTGCCCTATTATATACGGTATTCCCAAGTTTGCACATTCTTCAATAAACCTATTTATTTTTATTTTGCTATTTTTACAGCAAAATATAAAGAAATATTGAGGTGATGGGATTTTCGCACAGTACTGCATGTTGCTTTCGGTTTACTCCAACTTGATTCTGTTATCATCCACCTCGTCAGGGCTTCTTTAAGCGTAAAAACTTTCATGCCTTGCGATAAAAATAAAAATTCAATTCAATTTTATTTATATAGCACCAAATCACAACAACAGTCGCCTGTTAAAAACATAAAACACAAGATTCAGGTTTGCTTTAAGCTGGTGAATCACTTCATTAATGTCTGTTTGAAATAAACTAGCAGTTTGCAAGAGTTTCCACCGGAGGCCGCTCTCTGTCACGTTTTGAGACCTGATTCAGCCGCTATCGTGTCTGTGCACACCAGGCTTTGATCCTTGCTGCAGTTTCAGGTTCATACCTCTCTGCAGTGACTTTAAACAGATGTTGTGTTTTTATCAGTGTAATTAGCCTACATCAGAACCAGCTCTGCTCTACGTGGAGCTGCAGAGTTACAGGACGAGGTTTCACAAACTTTCTACCCTGAAGCAGCTCGATTTTGGGATGAAGTTCAGACATGTTTTCTCCGGGATAGTTCAAAAGGATAAAGATCTTGGTTTTTGTTTTGTTTTGTTTTTCCAAAGAATCCTGGCCTGTTTATTGTATTGCTTTTTTAGTTTCTTTCCCTTCTGTTGCTTCCTTTTCTGCTATTGTTAGTTTGTTTAGTTGCTCTCTTGCAGATAAGAAAACTAAAAGACTCAACAATGCATATGCTCTCTTTGTTTGTATACAACAAGAGGTAGAGATTATGACTTGTTACTTTTTTTGGACGTGTCATCCACCTGTTGCTGAGAATAGATGCTTTTTAAACTGGTTGGTTGAGTTTGGAACAATAGAGGAAATACACTCACATCTATTTTAGGATCATACTGAGCAACATGGGGAGCGTTCTCACACAGGCCCTCAGGCATAAAGAGAGAAACTAAAGGTCACTTAATTAACTTGCCTGTCATAAATTATTCAGCAGCGTCTTAGTCACCCCTGCAGGAGCTTAAGGTGGAGACTGTAGGTCTGCTCAGCCTTTGCAAAACCAGTTTAACCCATCTCCCTGCATCCCAGTGACTGACAGGTACAGACAGCATGAGAAAAAACTGTCAATATTGCGATAAACTTCACTCATAATACATAAAAAGTCAAGCGGTTCACTGCTGTTCTAAGGCCTGGTACCCGAAAAAGAGATACAGCAGCATCATCGGCTGTAACTTTCCACCTCTGTGTTTCCTGATTTAACTTGCGCAGTTTCATTTCATCAGATTGTGTCAGGTCCACTAAAATAAGTGTGAGCTTTCATTTGCTTGAATCAGCAGCACTGATGGAGTGACGCTGGTTAGTGAATCACACGTCGCAAAGGTCTCCTGAAAGCAGCTTGTTTCCTGTTGGCCTGTTCTGAAATCCTGCTCTCTCTCCATGACCGGCTGCCATTGTGTTGTATGTTGGGCTGTATCCAGGCACAAAAGACAGGCATTGGTTAGGGGGAAATTAGCCTCTATGGGGGAACTTTTCAGCACTCGCTGCCTTTTTGGACACCTGTCACATGATGGTGGACACGCAGATGGTTTGAAATCATATCTAAGTAAGACAATAAAGTAATGACGTCCTTGTGGACAATAGTAAGTGGGGTTTAAAGTAGAGTGGCTCCATGAATTACTACATATAGCTATTTATCATTAATATTCACTAAGATCAGTGACATTAGTTAACCCTGTAACTCCATGTGTATCACATGTGATGCATGTCATGGTTCTCAGGTTTTTTTCCTGTGTTCTTCATCCAGTTTGTAGTTACTGTGATTATTGTCTCGTCTGTATTCTCCTAGTTTAGTTATTCGTGTTTCTAGATGTTTAATTTTGTTCCCTTTCATGTCCAGTCTGTCTTAGTCTCGTCTCCGTGTGTCCTCCCTTGCGTCCCCCGTATGCAGTCAGTCTTGTCTCCGTGTTTGTTTCCCTTTCTGTCTGTGTGTCAGTTTGTCTCTGTAGTCTGTACTTCCTGTCTTACTTTGTCACTTCCTTGTCTTGTGTGCATTGTGTTTAGTTAAATTTCTCTATGTCCCCTTCCTCCTGTGTCAGTTCCCTTGCATTTAGTCGATTCGTGTGTATGTTACGTTTCCATTTAGTTATTTCCCTTCTTGTTTCCTTTGTTTCTTCCCCATGTTTACGTTTCATCTTTGCGAAGTTTGTGCTTTGGTCTCTGTCTCAGTGTTCATGCTTCCTGTTTTATTTTGGTGTCAGTGTTTCGTTTTTTCCCCTTTACAAAAACCTAAATTTAAAGTTTCACAATACATGTTTCAGCAATAAAATGCACCAAAAATGCAAATGTAGTAAATACGATACAAATTAAAACTCGTCAAGTTGATATTTAACTTGGTTCAGGTTTTAAAGGGTTCAACAGAAGCACCAGACGCACATTCACGTCATTCAAGGTGTGGTGCGCTTAGGTGATGCTGATGATGTTGTTAGCTCTCTAGTCAGTTATGTAGTGTCTGTTTCATTTATTTACATTTATTTAAATCATAAATTCAGGTCTATGTTAAATTCTTTGCGACTGTTCTGCCCTTTGGGACATTTCAAAAACACTTAATTTGTTTTAAAAATGCACTCTGTTTATTTTATTTCTTTCTAGCACACTAGCAAGCCACGATAATGGCTGTATTTAGCTGTATAATACACAAATGATCAAGTATGGACAATGGTGGATGGTAATAGGTTTCGCTAGAGGCAGGGGCTGCAAATCAAGTTCACCTCTGGGCTCCATGAAACCTTGGGCTGGCTCTGAGTTCATCTTATTTACATAGCGCCAGATCACAACAGCAGTCCTCTTGCACCGATTTAGATAAAGCCAAAGAATAAAACAAATCTACATGTGTAAGCACTTGGTGACAGTGGGGAGGAAAAACTCTTTTAACAGAAAGAAACCTTCAGCAAAACCAGGCTCGGGTAGGAAGTAGTGCTGGGAGTGCATCATGCAAGATAAAGATGTAATCTGAACCTACAGCAACGTGACTAAAAAGTTGATTCAGGATCCCCTGATCCAGCCCTAACTATAAGCATTATCAAAAAGGAAAGTTTCAAGCATAATTTCAAAATTAGAGACAGTGCAAATTCCCAAAATCGAAACTGGGAGGTGTTGCCACAAAGCTGAAGGCTGTGCCTCCCATTCTGCTTTTAAAAAGTCCTTCTGAGAGGTACAAAACATTTTTTTAAAAAGTGCTTTTTAAGGGTGGAACCTTGATTCTGCTTTAACAGTTGTGTCAAGTGACAGATCGCCTCATTGTCAATTCAGCATTTTCACCCCAAAACACTTCTGATTCTGAGTCGTCTTGAGACTGATTGGTGTTTACATAGAGCTGATCAGAAGTGCCATCCGTCCAGCCTACATAGGATACACCGAATCTAAGCTTCAGCTACATCTTTGGGTGGAGGAAACTCATGCAAAAGCCAGAACAGCTGCACCACAGTGCCACCTTTAGCACATAAAAAGTTTAAAAGAAAAATAATCATTCTTTATTTATTCCAGAAGCCAAAAATAAGTCACAAAACACAAAAAACAAGTTAAATAAAAATAAAAAAGACAGCGTAATCACCATGACGAGACATCCACACCAGTGTCTCCATAATAAAAACCGATAACATTAACCTGATATCCATCAGGGCCGTGATGATCCCGTTCTCAAAAGTGTTGAGCCTGCAAACAAATTTATACATGAGGTTTCATAATAGAGCTTCAAATGTGCTGACATGGACTGTAGATTGCATACACTCAAAAAACATGAAATCTCACTGTTGCTGGTTTAAAGAATCATCTTTAGTTTTATTTTAAGAAGTTGTGTAATGTGGTTCCACCCAACTGCGTTAAGCAACTCCTGACTGCTTTTATGGAAACGTTAAACTGGCTCAGCAAAAAAACAAAGTTTCACTGAAATAAATCAAACACATCAAGTAAACTTCTTCTCTGTTTCTTAGAATTCAGATCAAGTCAGTTCAGTTTTATACTGTAAGGTAAAGACCCTACAATAATAGAAAGAAAACAGAGAAAACCCCGCTAAGAGGAAGCACTTTGGTGAAAGTGGAAAGGAAAAAAATCCCTTTTAAGAGGAAGAAACCTCCAGCAGAACCAGGTCAGGTTTGCCACCAGAGATTAATAACAAGTAATGATTCGATGCAGAGAGGTGTATTAACATATAGTGAGTGAGAAAGATGACTGAGGAAGATACATTCAGTGCATCATGGGAAGTCGCCACCAGTCTAGGCCTACTGCAGCATAACTAAGGGAGGATTCAGGGTCACCTGGTCCAGCCCTAACTATATGCTTTAGCAAAAAGGAAAGTTTTAAGCCTAATCTTAAAAGTAGAGATAGTGTCTGTCTCCTGAATCCAAACTGGAAGCTGGTTCCACAGAAGAGGGGCCTGAAAACTGAAGGCTCTGCCTCCCATTCTACTTTTAAATACTCTAGGAACAACAAGTAGGCCTGCAGAGCGAGAGCGAAGTGCTCTAATAGGGTGATATGGTACTACAAGGTCATTAAGATAAGATGGGGCCTGATTATTTAAGACCTTGTATGTGAGGAGCAGGATTTTGAATTCAATTCTGGATTTAACAGGAAGCCAATGAAGGGAAGCCAAAACAGGAGAAATATGCTCTCTCTTTCTAGTCCCTGTCAGTACACAATTAGCACACTGCTGTGTGTTTGTAATTTGAGATTTAGTGTTATCGTGCATACCTGATCTTAGCACCCGCATTCATCACGCACGCTCTGCAGGATTGTAAAACCAGCAGCTGCACCATGGTACGAATGTGTGTGTTTGCTGATGTCATAAAATGACTGGTTTGCCAATATAGAAAAAATATTAGTTGACCAATAAACCTGATTTGAAAGATACTAGATTTAAATGTATATTACTTACGTACTATATGTGCAGTGTGTGCCTTTCAGTCTATTATATCTTTGGCCTAAAGATACAATTTAAAATTGGTTATTTGCTAAGTTGTCACAACACTGGTTCATCCCTGTTTTATGCTTGAATGATTCAGAGGTCAGTGTGAAGCGATTCAACAAATAGCAGAAATATTCCTCTGAGAGGGGTCAACAAACAGGCTCTATGTATACCTGCAAGTTGGTGCAGTGATTTCGACCTCTTACATCTATGCAATGAAACAGCTGTGATGTTTTCCCCTTTCGTTGCATATTTTTACTCCTTGTGAACTATTTGTACCTCCCATTTTCTCTCTTTTCCTACATCTTTGCTGTTTCTGCTGAGCTATACCGTTTTCATCATATATTTGCGTTTCCTGTTGGCCACTTTTTGTCACCAGTTTTCCACACAGTGTACTCTTTTTTGCACTGTTTTCATCTCATGTCTCCAGTTGTTTTGCAGTCTACAGTTACAAAAGAAATTGAAGAACCATTTTTCTGACCAAAGAGAAGATCCCATCTGAGTTTCTGCATGAAGTGTGGGTTCAGTTTTGGTAGCTTTTGTCTCTAATAAATGAAACCGTAATTTAAAAACTGCTTTTTTTAATTACTTGTTATGTTTGTCTTATTTTAAAACTTGATTCGTGATCTGAAACTTGAAGTCATGATAAATATGGGGGGGGGAAAAACCCAAAGAAATCGGGAAGATCACAAAAGCTAAAGATTAGAATCAGCAACTTGAGGGGGGGGGGGGGGGAGCTGTGAAATCAACACAGGAGTCAGAATTCAGTTGTTTTAAACAAGAATCCAAAATTCCAGAGCTGAGGTTTGCTTTGCTGAAAACAGTCCAGCACTGAAGCAGCTCTCTCATTAGCTAATATCACCTCTAAAACCCCGAAACAGCGTCAGATCTTCAGCTTCCACGCAGGATCGCTGAGGAAAACACGACACACCTGCAGCCTGACCTTTGACCCGTCCTCCTCGGCAGTCTCTGCCTCTCTGTTTACTTTCATCATATTTGCATAGCTGCTGCTGCCTGACCGGAGCGCTCGTCCTCGCGTGCTCACACACGCCCCCGCCCCCGCTCACCTGCCTGCCTCGCGCCAGAACCAATCCAGCGGTCGCTCGGTGCGCACAGACATACAGCAAGTTTCTGACGTCTGTTCTCGAAAAGAAAGGACTAAATTCACAGGATATTTTTCACCTTTTTTATTTTATTATTAATTTTTTGTGAACTTCTGTGAAAGTGAAGCCTGCGTGTGAGCGCTCCGTGGATGACGGAGGAAGTTACGCGTAAAGAGGGAAATGAGGTTTACTGTGTGGGGGGGATCTAAGGCTGTAAGTGACAGTGAGTGAGACGTTAACATCATTAAAAAATGAGGTAAGAATCTCACCTGTCTTTCTAACACACTGACGCCGTTTAAATCGAGTAACTGTAGCGCAGATGTTAATGCGCAAAAGCGCCTTTTTTCCGCCTTGACGCACAGTTCACGTCGCCGCTTTAATTTATTACAGTTAAATCGGTTTTAAAGCGACAATAACCACCCAACAAAAGCAAGAGCCGCACGTCAAACGGATAGACCTATTTTAAACTGTTCTCACTCCTTAATATTTTATCCCTCTCGTTTTAGCCAATTACTAGTTTATTAAACTCTGACAGATGCTTCCATCATCCATCAGAAACAGAGACAGAGGTGGCTTTGTTACCTTCCCCCTTTTATCTTTTTTGTCTGAATTTGCTTTTAAAGCTCTCTACAAACTCTGATTTCCAGGTTTTCCGTGCAGGTAAAATCTCTCTGTGAGAGGCTCTTTCTAAACTTCACCAGCTGTCCTTGAACTTGTGCGAGAAATCCTTAAATTGTGGGACTTTCTTTGGCTTGACCAATGATTTTTAGTCGCCAAAGTCAAGACAGTGGGTCGAGTTTGTGGCATTCAGCACACAGAATTAAGTTTAAAATAATTTTATAACGAGATTTTTTTTTGTACGCTTTCAAATTGCCTTTCTTTGTTATATAACCTAAAAAAAAAGGTGGTTTAAAATGGCTTTAAGTGTCCTGTAAGTGTTAAAAAAGAGATCCTGTTTTGTACACTTTATTAAACTGTCAATCTTAACTATGAAATAGTCTTTTACACAGTTTTGAGAACCTGGACCAGGTATCTGCATTGATTTTCTTGGAAAGCCCCTTCTTCTTTCTGTAAAGTGCTTCACAGACACAGAATAGAGTAGTGAAACCAGCAGGCATGGGAAAAGGACCACAAAGTAAGAACAATAACTGCGCTGTCTCTGCCACATGAGCAGACACAGTGCTCCTGTGTTAGAGAGTGAATGAAAGAAACCACGCTGTTGTCATTCAATCTCAAAGTGTGCGGCTTAAAGCTGACCTCCTGCGCTGGGTGCAGGTTGGTCAAGGTGAGCGGTTTGAATCAGATGAATTACCGGGTAATCCCTCCATGACTCTGCTATTAAATCTGATATCTGATGGTTTTTTTGCAGCAGACTGGACAGATCAAAAGGATATTTTAATCTGTGAATTGATGGGGACTTGGAAGTGGCAGTCATGATGTTTTGCATACTAATCAGATAGAGTGAGGAAAGGGGAAGAGGCAGATCAGAGCAAACCACTGCATCTAGGTGGTGGCTTGAAAAAATGTTTACAATGCTCAGTGAGTGCGTCAGCTGCGTGTCATTCCAGTACACACCTGAACAGGGTAACAGTGTGTTACTGGGGAAGTGCCTGCAGCCAGACTAACAAGTTTTTTTTGCATAATGGGGAAAGGACTAGAAGAAGTCAGTCATTAAAATAGCATTAAAACCGAGGGCAGGTACAAACTGAGTGCGCGTGTTATCAGGCTTTGGAAGCTGAAGGCTTGGCTTGGCTTGGTTTAACCTTTGCTGAATGTGTGGTCTTTCTGTGTTTTTCTTGTTGACAGGGAGACCCCTCTTCCCCCCAGTATGGATCAGAGCTCATCTAAAGAGGTTATCTTGCAGTTTAAGATTCCTTATCGACAATCTTTGAGTCCGTAACACATCCAGAGGGAGCGTCTTTAGCCTCATCGCCTGACTTGCAGAGTGCTGAAAACAGAGGAGCTGGACTCTCTCTGAAATACTCTCTGACTCTTCTCCTTGCTGCTCAGACGTTAACAGCATCCGACAAGGGAAAGTAAAGACAAACAAACACTGTTCTAGTGTGTTTTTGTCATGCAGAGGAGCTGACGGGCACAAGGGGAAAAGCAAAGTGACAGGTTGGCAGACTGTGAAAGCCCTCGCACTCACACTGGGTCACCATGCCAGACGAGTCCCGGGGCATCCAGGACGAGGGGAAGCCTGGAGCAGAAGCTTCGCAGCTGTCCTTGGTGCCAAATATTGTTGTCGTCTCCAACGACGGGGAGGGCAAAGTCAACGGGCGCAACATCATTGAGCTGGAGGACTTCACAGACAACTTAAAGCGCTCTGCTAAAAGCAGAAATGGTAGCACAGGCAGCCTCGTCATCGGAGGCGAGTCAGGACTCAGTGCATCCCAGGTTTCCGTAGAGGTGGGAGTGGCCAAGACTGCACAGGCCCCCGAACCAAACAAAGCCAACTCTTTGGTGAGGGGAGCAGGTGCAGATCGTGATAAGCTACAAAGTGACAGCAGGGATTCGATGCAAAAGAACAGCTGCAGTGATTCGGACTACGGCAGCTCAAAATCCCTTCCCGGTTACGGTGGCGCAAGTTTAAGCGCTGATTCCTGTGATGAAGAGCTGTCTGAGCTCGATGGAAATGTATTCGAAAAGGCTAGCCGGATCTCTCCCATCAATCTGTCTGAATCCAGCTTGAACACCTCTCAGCTTGAGCAAACCCCTAAAAACAGTCATGACAACTATAGCATTGATTCTAAAACTGACATAACTACTAAAGCAAAAACGAAAAATTCACTGAGTGGAAGCTCGCCAGAATTACCCAGTGTTTCCCCCAGGGCCAGCCAATCCGGAGACAGCATCGACATCAGGTGGGCCAACGAAGATGACGATCGACGAAGCAACCTGTCCAGGCAGACTGTGATAGAGGGCGTGTGCTGCTGCTATCAGGCCACCCACAGGGCTTGTCTGCAGTGCGTGGAGGAGACTCCGTTAATGGTGTCTGGACTGGTGCTGACATTGGTCTTCAGTTTGGTCATTATCATCGTCCTCGCCGCCACAAGGGTGAGAATTAAAATGAACACTAACCAGCCATGCTTCAGTTTGGGAAATGCACCCCACTGAGCACCAGAGGTCCATTTCCTGGGCCCTTTATGTCTGATTTTGATGCAAGAGGGAAGTAGATGTCCACATCACACACAGTTGCTGTTTCCAAAATAAAAGAACGTGGATCTGTAGTTTCTTGAGTTCAAAATTTGATTGAAATTGTAGATCAGACAACATAATCAGTATCTTATTCTTATCGTATTCAGAGTTTTTTCTAGTTTTTGCTATGTAACTTTGCACTGTCCACTTTCTGCTGTAACAGAACAAATTTCCCACGTGTGGGACTAATAAAGGTTATCTTATCTTATCTTATCTTATCTTATCTTATCTTAACGCAGAGTAGCCTCATTGATGGCTATTTTAGTCCAAGTTTCCCTGGACAAGATACTTCACCCCAAAATGCATCCATCGAGGTGTGATAGGCTGAGAGATTAAAAGTTCTTAGAGTTCAGTAAACAGTAAAGAGCTCTATAACTGTGTGTGAGTGTGAATCCGACTTCTGTTGCACAGATGGTTGCCAGTAGGTGGCCTGTGACTGAGACCTAAAGCAGCAAAACATAGCCAGCATATAGAGTCAGATAAGTGCAAGTCACGTACATGCCAAAGAATTAAAAGAAAAGATCAGAACTGCCACTTTTGAGATTATCAACATGAGCGTAAGCAAAGGAGAAATCTTACAGCCAGCGGCACCAAGAAAATGGAGGATTAAACCTGTTTCACCAAAACGCAACAGCATTCCTGTTGCACTTCACTTAGACCACATGACTTCTTACAATTGCAAGTCACTGTTGTCCATGAAAGCCGTACATACAAGTATTACCTGCCTTTGAAAAGTCTGTTTTAAGTACTGTTTTCTGTCTCTAAAAAAGGGTGATCTGTAAGAGGGTGGGGGGAAAAATCTGTAAGAACCGGTTGCTATCGTATCAGACGATACAATAAAAATAAAACATCAAATTATCTAAAAAGCTAAAAAAAAATTATCATTTTCAGATAAGATCATATAAGTTAAGATATCCTTTATTAGTAGAGGTGGGAATCACCATACATTCCTCGATACGATATTATCACAATACTTAACGCACGATATGATATTATTGCAATTTTTTTAAATATTTTGCGATATTCAGATTCTGTACATAAAGGTAAACTTTATCAATATTCATTTTATCTAATATCAAAGTCTCACACTCCAACTTAACTCAATGCAACCATCTGGTACAATTATAGTTATTCTGAACTATGCAATTTATGAAAACTATGCAGCCCATTCAGCAACTGAAGAATTTGAAAGTAAATTAAAAGGAAATATAATTTTACATTAAATAAAAAAGTTTTAAACTTAATTAAAATAAAACATGTCTTAAATTAAAATAAGTAAACTGTCGTGTTTATTGCTGCCATAAAAAAAGTTAAACACATTTGGACAGCGAAGGAATGTCAGGATTCTTGCTCTGAAGTCAGAGCATGTTCCAGTCCACAAAAACTTTTTTTGTAACAAAATATCGATTTCTGCTGTCCCTGTATCGATACATTATTAGCAAACAAAATATCACGATACTACACAGTATCGATTTTTTCCCCCACCCCTATTTATTAGTCCCATAAATGATAGGTAGATAGGTACATTCATATCATTACAGCAGTAGATTGGACAGAGCAAGAATAAATAGATCCAGTATAACCAAAGAACAATAATATTATACAAGATAAAATGTACATATATGCAAGGTAACATTTTCGCTAATGGTATTTACAAAGGCTTCCCTTTATATCTAAATTTTGGGTGGGGGGGGAGAAAGTTGATTAATCGCCTTTTTAGGCTTGAACAAAGGCTTTCACTCGAGCTTATCCCAAACATTCACTATTCACCTTTACCTGCTCAACAAGTTTTCTGTTTTGAGGTCTAAAAGACATCTAAGAAGTTAAATAAAATATAATCACATTTTGCTTCTCATTTATAGCCCAGCTAAGCTATATAATGACAAAGGAGAAAGCACTTCTTTTCATTGTACTCGTGAATTTCAATTCACTTTATGTTCTCTGAAACACATAAACCTACATTTGAGTCATAATACTGTCCAGTCTTGTGTTTGCACGGCAGTATTTAGTGCTAACGCTAGCCGCACACTGCATGTGCATCACCAAGCTAGCATGCTAATCTCCCTCCTGTTTAATTTATAAATACCAACTTTTAAAGTGGATAGATGACCATAACACTTAGTCAAAACTAATATTTCCATTTTAAAAATAACCAATCCTCCCTGTCATTGTGAAAATTAAAATACCTTTACTTCCTGTGGCTGAAGCAGATTAAAAACATGGCACCACCTGTTTGAAGCTGAGCCCGGCTTTCACGTCTGATGAATAAAAGCATTTTAATTTTGCTCCTTTGTGCTAAGCAGGCAGGTGTTTTTTGGATATAGTAAACAGCAAAGTAAGCTCTTCCAAATGCATTAATATTAATAGGAAGTGCTCCTTTCCCTGCCACTGTTAATGCTGTGCAGGAGTTTGTGCAGGAGCAGACAATTTAGTTTTCTTTTAGAGCATTTTTTAAAACTTTCAAACAGCTAAGATGTTGGTGACATTAAAGCACTATTTCACTTTTTCTGTCGCTTCACAGACAATAAGCGAACATGTGGGCGCTCTGTCCATTGTTAGCATTGTTCTTTGCCTGAGCACGATGCTGCTCGTCTGCCTGCCCTGGCTGGCCACGGTGAGGCGCTGTCGAGGAGCGCTGGCCCTCTTCGTCTGGGGGATACTATACATCACTGCGATGGTCTTCGTCTTCACGGGCGGACAAGTGACAGCGTGGGAACAGGTGAGTCCCAATGGTCCTGAGCACAGATAAATGGGAGGGTTACATCAGGATGGGCTCCGGTGTAAAATCTGCGCCAAATACACATACACATCTGTCCACGGTGGCAACTCCTTGGGAAACAAAGGAGAAGTTAAAAGTGAAAAGACGCCCAGGACAGCTGGGATAAGCTCTAAACTGCTGCATGTTTCTTTCTTCTTAGGTCGCGTTCTTCCTCTTCCTCTCTCTCAGCGTGTACACGGTGCTGCCTCTCTCGCTGGCCTGGGCCCTCATGGTCGGGATAGGGACCAGTGTTTCGCACGTCATCATCATCAGCGTCTACGTTCCTGTCACCAGACCAGAGACACCAGATCTGGCTGTGCAGGTTCACACACATATCATATTTGAATATATTTAAACTAGTTTCTAACGGCACGAGGGTCATGTTAGCCTTCCTCTTGTGACGTTAATTGTTTTTCCCTATTTCTTATTAATGAAAAGGGTTTGGTCGTGCTGAAATTGTAATTGGTGTGTGTGCTTTGGAAGTTCATATGTAAATTTTGGAGAGATGCTTCCTTTTGCATGAGCCAGAAAAGAAAAAAAACAAACCTCAAATTCAAATAGAGTGATATAGCGGTATCAACAGGGCTCAGTTACTTTGGAAAAATGTAAATCACCTGTTGTTATTATTAGTGAAGTCATAAACACATGCAGTTGTGGTCAGATGTTCATATTCACTCATCATGTGCGTGACTTTTAATGATTTCTTTTGGATTTTCAAGGGTCAGATATAGACACACCCCCCACTAATATTTGGGTTACTGTCTCTTGACATGTTGGGCCTCAAGAAAACGCTTTTGATATCCATCAACAAGCTTCTGGCATAATTCTGGCTAGATGTGTGACTACTTATCTTGGCAGAATCACTAGAATTCATTTAAATAAGTTGGTTTCCTGGCACAGACCCGGCTTTTAAGCATAGTGAGGATGGGGACTGCTCCTGGGCCTGGCAGATCCCCAAAGAAGGCATCCCCTAGAAAGCAGTAATAACTGTGTGTTACGAAGGTCATGGACCTCTGCAGTAATATAAGTGGTAGGCCTGCTAGCGAAGATAAGTAGCCCCTGGCCTCAATAAGGTGGTCGAGGGGACTTTTGAAGGTCTTTCCAGAAGTTTAATGTTAGCCTACTCTATCGGATCCAAAACCAGTTTTTATGTATGTTTGGAAATCTCAGTATCTAGGGTTACTTCATGTCAAGTTGTTTGTAAGTGGCTTAGCGGCCCTTCTGTTTTGTTTGCTAGTCTTTTGCCTCATGTACATTGTGTTTAGTTTTCCTTCCTTTCCTGTCCTGGTTTAGGTTCATCTGGTTCTTAATTGCCCTGCTGTTTGGTTTTTCCCGATAACTCTCGTGTCTATTTAAAGCCTTTGTTTGTCTGTGTTTGTTTTACTGTTTTTCCTCCTCTGTTTCCTGTACATTGCCTGCATGTTTCCGCATTTGGATTTGAGGACTTTGTTTTGGGGGTCTGGGATTTTTCTGCTTCTGTAAACAAAGGTCAGTGTCTGTTTATTCAGCTCAGCTTTTGAGTCTGTATTTGGGTACGTGCTTTGCAATTCATAACAGTCTCATCTGACAAGAAAACTTTTCTCTGGATGGCATTTGGCTCGTCCATGTGGAGAGCTGCAAATTCCTGTCGAGATTGAAGCAGAGGCTTCTCCCTTGGTCAACGCCCTCTCAATCCATGATGTAATATTGGCTTCAAACTGTGGACAGTGATGCTGGTGTTCCAGCAGTTTCCACTTCATGTTAGTCTTGAGCCTTGGTGGTTCGTGGGTTATTCCTGAACATCCGTGGGTCTTCTCTCAGGTCTTAGTGGTGACACATCGGATAACTTGTACTTACATAAAATCATTTAAACTGATGAGCTTTTGTAAATCTACAATCTTTCCTTCTCAGATCTTCTCGATGATTTCTATCAAACAAATCATTTTTATGCTGCAAAGAGAAACTACCAGTTGGAGTCAGTCATGACCACTTACGAGAAGTTAGTGAGGAGACACTGTAGAACATATTAAATGTTTAAGTGAGTGCATGTATATATTTGAGCCTCTATGTATACTTTTAAGCAGTATATGTTCAACCTTGTGCACCCTGGACAAAGAACAGCTCAAAGAAATCATTAAAAGTCCAAAAATTGCCACGGCATTCATTCAAGCTCATGATCCATGGATCAAATCAAATTAAATGTGTTTGTAAGCAGCTGTGCAGTTTGCAGTTCTCAGTTAGTGAAACATATCTCGTTTTCTGTGTCTCTAATTTTCATATAACAGCGCATATGAGAGGACGGCTAAAGTATAACCACCCCCTCTCCTCTGACTGTTTCTTCTCTCAGCTGGTGGCGAACGCTGTGCTGTTTGCATGCGTGAACGCCGTGGGAGTTTTTCACCTGTACAGGACTGAGAAAGACCTCCGGATATCCAATCAGAAGCGAGAGGAGTTCAGCGCCATACGCTCCCAGAAGGAAATAAAGAAATATCAGCAGGTCAGCTTCTCAAACAGACGTGACTCACATCAGGCCCACGAATTCCTTTCAGACCCGTTTCATTGTCGTTTCATTTGGGCAGAGCATTCGTCTGCTCTGCTTACCTTTGTTTAGTACATTGCAGTTATTTGCTTACATGAATGACACAAAACTAAAGTATCTGACCCCGCCCTCTACTGATTTTGGCTTGGAGCGTTTTATTGCCTTTAATGAAATATGATTTTGTTTCGATGTCTCTTTCGCTGCCAGCGTGACGAGCCAGAAAGTTAATTTTCTTCGCTCCTGCTTCAAATTTCTGAAATAAAGATACAAGAGTGTGCTTTAATCCATCCTACAGCTAAAGTAGTAAAATAAACAAATGAGATAATTTGATAAATTAATTTCTCCTCCATTCCTCTTGGGGGCAGCTCATTTAATTGACTCGTATGTGTAATCGCTCTCATTAAAGTCCTCTTTATGTGACACTGTATGCTTTTCTTGCGATTAGTCCAATAGATTAATCATTCACTTGTCTGAAGTCGAGCAGCGTATATAATAGGCGAGCCTGAATGGGAACCGTTTACAGCAAGTAAACAAATAGATGAAACTTGATCCACCGAGTAAACATGGCAGCGCTTCAAGGAGGCTTTTGATGGCCATCTCTTTCTTTTACAGCCATTGTGAACTCCTCACCCACCTTCTCTACACACACACACACACGTAACCCCCGTCCTGTCTGTTTCCCCGGCAACAGGAGCAGCTCCTGCTGTCCGTGTTGCCACGGTACATCGCCGTGGAGCTGAAGACGGAGGTAATAAGCAGGCTGTCGAATCCCAAGAGCGACGACGAGAATAAATCAACTTCAAACAACTTTCACAGCCTGTATGTACGGCAGCACAGAGACGTCAGGTGAGCATCGCCGGGAGAAAGTGCTGATTGTCCTTTCGTGATGTCGACTGTGATATCGTTCTATTATTCATGTTTGGTGGGATTAACTATCTCAAGAAGTACACGAAGTCCTGAAAATGTAAAAATATGCAGTGAATGACATCAGAATAAGAGATAGCAGACATTTTCAAGCAGGTTAGTGGGGCGGACTCGCCGGCTGTACACACGTGTACCAAGAAAAGACTTCAAAAGTAGGAAATCAGGAATGTCAAGCTGACTTTGCATCGTGGGACACAAGCACTGATCTTAAGGGGGTCAGAAGCTCTCCTAAGAAGACGTTTAACTACTCTTTGAATCGCTGACATACCTTAATATAAGAAAAAGAAGGTTTACATGACAAAGCAATGCTGCTGTAATAAATGAAAGAAATCTAATAGGAGTAAATGTGTCAAATATCAGAAAAAGCTCTGGGTGATCATTAATGAGACTGACCCGTAATTATAAAACAGAAGGTTTTTGTTAGTTGACAGAAAAGCTGTAAAACTCATGAAAATACAGTTAAAAGTGGGTCAGATTCGATTGGCGTCTTTACCGGCCCAATTCCGGCACACGGCCCTTATGTTTGGCACGCCTGTATTAAATTGTCTCAAATTCAGGTGTGGACGGGTGAGGTCACAGTGAAAGTTTCCAGCACACGGTTCTGCTGTTTACACCACCCCCCCCTCCACAAACAAATGTAGCAGTAGCGTCATCTGTTTGTGTCTGATGTCTGATCAAATGACATAATGCTGACGTGAGAACAAGGCCCGGGCCCCTTCCTGAAGACAACACAAACACAGCGCTGTGTTTGTGAACCACTTTGATCTAGAGAAACATAATCATCTGTAACCACATGGCACCAACTTTGATATGGCGTCATATATGTGATATTTACGTTGTTCTTTAACATTACCGCAGGGTGCTGTTAGTTCAGACGTACCAAATTATGACCAAATGTACAATCTAAACATAGAAAGGTCTATATTTAGATTGTACAATAGGGCTACACCTTTAACATTTACACACCTGTTCTTATGTGTGTAAAAAGAGTTTGAGTTAGCTGATAAGGTATCTTAGCAGTTTTATCTAAATGCTTATAAAACATCCTGATTTTAGCTTGGTAGCAGGCTAACACAGTCTTGCAGTGCACTTGTGGAAACCTCAGAGGTGACGATGAAGGCAGTTTATTCGTTAGTCGCCAGAAATGGGAAGGTGTGAGGGTGGCGTGCAATGATTATGATGATTAGAAGGACTTTAAGGCATAGAACAGATCCTTTAATGAATGGATGAGTGTCAGTTAATAAGGCTTAAAGTAAAGTGGTGTGTTTGTCTGTGTGGGTTCATGTAGCATCCTGTACGCCGACATCGTGGGCTTCACGAAGCTGGCGAGCACCTGCACACCCGAAGAGCTGGTCGCTGTGCTCAACAAGCTCTTCGGCAGATTCGACGAGATCGCCAAGGTGCAAATACCAGCTCACCCACCCTGAAATAACCCTTTCATTTCCCCACAAAGACTTGCTTTGTGTCAGCTCTGACCTCCCGGACTCACTTTCTCGTCCCTTTCTTTCCATATTTAGAGGAATGGGTGTCTTCGCATTAAGATCCTGGGGGATTGCTACTATTGTGTGTCTGGTCTGCCTGACCCCATTCCCACCCACGCCAAGAACTGTGTTAAGATGGGGTTGGACATGTGCACTGCCATCAGGTCAGTTTATCTCAAGTTATTTCAAGTTTTACTCATATGTATTTCAGGCGATTTTGTTTTTCTCCACGCATACAGA